AGGTTTAACTTTGGCTGAAGCTGTAACTTTTCATAAAGCTGTTGCTGAAACTGTTACTGAACCTGAAGTTGTTGTTGAAGCTGCTTATGATGCTGAATTTGATGGTGTAGCTGAAGTTGATGGTTTAGGCCTTCGAATAATAAAGCTGTCGAAAGAACCTTGCGCAGCTGCTTTCTTTTCTCATTATACATCCTTATGTAGAGGTCATTTGCATTTATTTAAATTTGAATGCTTTGTTCTGTTAATGGATCCACCTCAGAAAATATGTTCATTGCTTGCTCCATATAGTATCCACAGACCTCTCACCTTTTTCATATTGTTTTAACACATCTAGTTTCTCGGCTAAGCTTATACGTACACTCTATTACCGTAGCTTTTGAAACAGCACTACCAGCACTTGCTCTCTTGTCCATGTTGAATAGGAATGCAAAAATGCTGTAAGCAACCTGAGAAATGTTTTTCTCCTTTTCCTGTTCAGATGTGTGAAAACAAAGGGCCTGCCAGCTGTGATTGTTTATACTAGTGATGTTGGCATCACCACTAAGAAGCCCGGCAGCCTCCATGCGCAAGGTGTTTTTTTTTTTATAATATAGGGATTTAGTTATTATTTATGCAAAAATGTAATATACAGTGATCCCCCGGTTAACGAGTGCCTTGGTTAACGAGATTTCGGTTAACGAGTTACCTTCCATAAGATTCTTAACTTCGGTTAACGAGCAATCCCTCGATTAACGAGTTTTTTACGAGCCAACCTCAACATGTTTTTGCTTGCATTTGGCGGTCCACCTGCTGTAGTATTAGTCCGCCAATACAGTATTCGGTTTTAGGGCTTAAATTCCTTACTATTTTAGTAAATATCAAGAAGTTTATACTATTCAATAATTTTAAAGTTTAATATTAAATTTTTTAGTCATTTTAACAATTATTGAACATAATTGAAGGTAAGGAAACTAGTTTCATGCACGCCATCCAGCCTGGCAACACACCAAACAGGCGCCAGTCTCTCTGTCTTTTCACTGGAGGTAACATCTTGCTTGAGACTCTCTTCAACTAAACGCTTTTTTTCTGTGTTTGCAAGCAAATTATTGGTCATTTTGAAATTTATTTTACATATTGACAATATATAATGCAGTGCAGTGTTGATTTAAAGAAAATAATCTTGAATTACACCAAGAGAACTAAAATTTTATGGGAGAAATGGCGCCATGGAGTGACTTCTCTTCCACCCCAATGCCTTCTCTTCCACCCCAATGCCTTCTCTTCTCCCTTCTCCACCCCCATTCTAATTCCCATCATCATCATCATCATCATCATCCAGGAGCCTTTTACATACACACCTCAAAGTAAGTGCACTTTTCTACCTTTTTTGTTGAATTTAGGCAATTTTCGGTGAGCTGGAACCAATTACCCCAAAACCCATTGAAACAATGGTTTCGGTTAACGAGTTTTTCGGTTAACGAGTGACCTGCTAAAACAGTTTGTGCTCGTTAACCGAGGGATCACTGTATTTTTATAATTTCGTTGTAAATACTAATAAAATAATGGCGTGAATTGAATTGTGTCCTAAATTAACCAGGGTCTTAGATATGAATCTTCGTTAGTTGAACCGTCGTTATTGGAGGCTTTACTGTACTATTATATATTTTTTTTGTTTAGTTGCAGAGTGTTGAGTATACAGGCAGTAAGTGGATGTCATGGAGGAAAATCAGCTGTTCGTAATCTCTCCAGATGGTGAAGAACTCACTCTTATGGATACAGAGTGAGTGTACGGTATTTTACTAAATGTTTTCCAATACAAGGGGTCCCTGGGTTACAAACGAGTTCTGTTCCTGAGGACAAACGAGTTCTGTTCTTGAGGACGTTCTTAAGTCAGAAATGTACGTAAGTCGCAACACATACCCTATGTGCACTATATCATAGCCTAAGTTCTTTTAAATACCTCGAATCAGTTTTAGAGAAACGAAGAAATTGAATGACAAAATACAGTAAAGGAAACTAAAAAATTTAAATTAACACTTACATTGAAACCTGGAACTGGCTTGCATGTAGAGATGGGCATTTGTAGGAGTGATAGAGGCTTTCTTTTTGTCATAAATATCTCTGTAACATCATGGATATTCAACAATACCTCTATGAATCTTGGTGAATCTTGCTGTGTTGGTATCTTGCTGTGCAAATTTAAATAATCCTGAAACCATCTGCCATATCTTTGGTAATGAATTGCTTTGGTTCTGGAGTTTCAGCTTCCTCTACATCCTCTGACAAAATTTGCTTGTTCACTTAAATCAGGTTCTCATTGCTTAATTCTTCAGCATGAGAATTAAGCAACTGTGACATCATCCTCATGAATATCAAGCTGTCTGTATCCCTTCTCCAACATCATTTTCAAAGTCCCTGAAATCGTGGACAAACTGTGGGCAGTGTATTTTCCAAGCACCATTTGCCCTAACCTTGAACTGGTTAAACCAGCCCCTACTAACAACAAAATCTTCCCATCACTTTCAGCACCATGTTTAGCCTTAAAGTTAGTGTGCAAGCTTCTCGTATTTTCCTGAATCAAGGCTAGACTTGGAGGCAAATCCTGTTTATTTTGATCTTCCATCCATGTCACCAACAGTCTTTCCATTTCAATTAACAATCCATTTTTTTCTTTGTTATCACAGATGAGTGCATTGGTGTGTAGATTTTTTTACATGTTCAAGAATTTTCTGTTTCTTTCAAAATTGTTCCGACCGTTGACCGACAAGCCCAATGCTTTGCCAATGACTGAGGGCGTTTCTCCTTTTTCAGAACGTTTAATTACATCAACTTTCACCTTCATTGTAATTGTTTTCCTTTTCTTGGATGCACTACTATCACTTGCATCAGGTTTGTATCTGGTAGCCATGATGAGGGCAGAAAAAGAGTTAATAAGCAAAAACAACTGTTTGTACTTGATGATGCACGTTAATGCGGTGAAGGTAAAGTGTACTGGCGCTCCCTCAAGGCATGTGGGCGGGCGATGCTTCACTCCTCACCCGCCTATATGCTATGCAAACTAGTTCTCGTACGTAAATACAGTACAGTACTAAGAATCAGTTGTACTTATGTCGGATTCTTAAAATAGATCTTATGTGAGCTCGTTTGTATCGGCGGGTGTTCGTAGGTCGGACATTTGAAAGTCGGGGACCTCCTGTAGATCCACTTATGACACTTGGGTACAGCTTTTTTATAGTTCGTATGTTCAGCTCTACATGTAATTGGTGAGTTTGGAATGCTTCTCTCATAATCTACAACACAGAATGACATGGATGAAGGGTCTCTTGTGGAAAATGGCCATATTTTCTGTAAGAGGGGTGTTGGCAGTAATTCGATAATGTTCAGTGAGTGTGGGAGGTGGGTAAAAGAAAAGGTGAAGTGTAAATGGCAGACTGCAGGATGTTGCTGATTTTAAGTGCTGTAGCGCAGGTGGCAACCGTTGGTGTAATGGTCAGCATGTTTGCCTTCTCGGTTCAATTCCTGGGCAGGGTGACACTATGGGCAAGTTTCTTCACACCATTTACCTCTGTCTACCCAGCAGTAATTGGGAACCCGGATGTTAATCGATTTGTGCATTGTATTCTGGGGTAATGGTTAGCCAGTGCAGTTGGTGAATTGTCTGGTCTTCTCGGAGTATTTCTTGACACTGGGTCATGCAACTTGTTAACTTTGGGTGTGGTTGATGTGTTGGCAACAGCTTTTACACCATAAACAAATTCGTGCCTAGGTGGCCCTAGGGCCGACCATCCTCGTACACGAAGGGCAGCCATTATTTATTATGTGCTGGTAATCATGTGGCCTCAGCTTCAGCAAGGATGGGCTGGAAAAATTCAGTATTGGGGATATATCACAGAGTTTTGCCAACAACTTCTGTTAAGTGGGTGACATGATTAGTCCTGGAGATGATGTAGAAGCTAGCTTGTTTGCAAGAGTTAGAAGTGACTAAGAAGAAGTTTAAGGTGCTGTTGCCTTTATTGATGTTGTAAGGCGATGAAAAATGGGCACCCAAAGAGGATGACACAAATAGATTTCAATGAATTGAAATGAGAATGTTTAGATGCATATGTGATGTGATGTTGGAATATAGGAAATTCTGTTGAGAGTTAAAGAGGTCAACTTGGAATTGAGAGTATTGATGAGGTTTCATGTAGAGGTAAGCTGAGATGGTTCTAGTAAGTGGAGAGACCAGAGAGAACACTTGTATCAAGACTCAAGACATTCACGAATTTGAATGTGGATGGGAGGAGAGCTAGGGGTAGGACAAGAATGACATGGGGAGACAAGAGGTCAAGAGAAATGACCCCAAGTATATAAGCATCTTGCTGGAGAGGTTACAAGAGAACATGAAGCTTGTAAGCTGCCATCGGGTAATTATGGTAAACTCGTACTGGCTTGGAAAATGGCCGTAAAACATAGATGATGTTGTCCCTCATTATAGGCTTTTTATTTCAGATATAAGTTGTTAGTTTGTAACTTTTATTATGGTACTTCCCTCTGCAGAGCATTGATAATGATAATGCTGCAATTTAGCTTAGATGGATATTAGAATCTAATTTTTATATACCTACTGTAAAATATGTTCTTGAGCAAAGTACTTTACTGTACAGTATTTTTTATTGGTGTAACTACTACCAGTAAAATGTTGCTATACTGTATGTGTTTATCTTAATGTACACATCAGTCACTACAGGAACCTAGCTGTGTTCTTGCAGGAATAAGGAAGCCTTTGGGATGTGTGGTTATCTTATTCTTTCTGATTATTATGTCCAGGGTTTTGAAAGATAATACTGGAACTGCTATTGCTCCATTAGCTAGACCAGTGGTTCCCAAAATTTTTCACATAACAGCCCCTTTTGCTTTTTATCAGACCCTCACCTCCCCACATTAATAAATAATTTAATCAACTTTGATCAACATACACCTTTTACTCTTATTTATATTAAGTATTTTCAAGGTCAACCTAACTCATAATTATTTTAACCATGGATTTCGTGCATATGGGGAAGATTGAAATGCTATGGTAAGAAAAAAGGTTTTACAATTTTATTGGAAATTTCCGAATAAAGAAAAAAGAATGTCCGTGTATATTAGGAAAAATAAATATTGAATCTCAAGATTGGGTTATCCGATATTTTGTTAAGAATAGAAAGTGAAGCAATTTCAGTTTGATCAAAGTGATCTAAATACTGTAAAAGAATAAACTCATAATAATATTCTTTGGTAAAATTTCATTGAGTAGTGTCATTTTCATTTCAGGAGTGGTATTTTGGTAGAACAAGGAACATATTCAATTACTATCCCCTCAGGAGGTCAACAACCACAGCCACAGAGTCAACAACAGGTCATTTACACACAGCCACAACAGGTTAGTAAAACTAAAACGTCTCGTGCAAAAGTTTAAAGCTTATCCCTTTGAGCATTGCATTTGAAATTCTGTGATTATATATATATATATATATATATATATATATATATATATATATATATATATATATATATATATATATATATATATATATATATATATATATATATATATATATATATATATATATATATATATATATATATATATATATATATATATATATATATATAAAGTAAATAAAATGCAGTTCTAAGAGTTGGTTTCTGCTAAAAGCTTGAATAATCATGATGAGTGAAAGAGAGCTCAACTTGCCTACTCGATATCTTCTTACTCACTGAGGCCCAGGCTGATGGCTAAAGAAGTTGGCAAAGCTATTGTTGAAAGTGGTTTTGTCATCCATAGAAGTCATAAATCCTGTTAGTTTCTTTGATTGGCTAAGCAATGTTGGTCAAGATTGTACCCTTAGTAATTTAACCCATTTGGCATGAGGTAGGGGGGCAATTAATTGGATAGTGTTTCATTTTGGATGCAAAGGTGTTTTGCATTTTCTGGACACCATAAAAGTGATTTCATAAAATGGGTGAATTTTCAACATACTATACTGGTATGTGCTTTCCTAAATAACATCAAAGCAGCGATAAAAGATAATTAGGAGAAAATTGTTGTGGATGAGTTTATTCACCATGTGATGTAGTGAGAGCTCTAAAAGTGAAGAAACAATGAGGTGAATTTTCGAAATGTTTAAATTCCTCGGGTTGAAATATAAAATGATAGGCACTGACCCACATCGGAGTCTGGGGGCAAAAATATAATAATAATATAAATAATAATATCTATTATTATCATTACAAAAGTTAATAATAATAACCACAAATAAATACAAAATGAAAATAATAAATAGAGTGAAAAACGATATGCATTATGTATGTTGTGTTGTCCAAGTAAGTGAAACAATTGAGACCCTGCAATTGTGTGTAAATGAGGCAGAAAGTCAGATCAGCAACCTAGGACTTGGTCACAATATTCGTGATGCCATATGGCAGTAGGGTCTACCATTAGACAACACATTATGCTTCCAATATCTTCCCAGGCGGTAGTATCTCCCTGTTTGGTAGCTGCCTAGTACCTATGATAGCATGGTTCATTTATTATGTTGTTGATGTTAAATCCTGATATTACACTGCAGTGGTTGACTTGGACTGGTTGAGGGAGTAAAGTATCAAAGATAGATGCATTATACTGTACTGTATAAATATTATAAAATAGAAACAGCTACACTACCGATATTTATATTTTATTTTTATGACCTAACATCACTAATTGTGTTGACAGATGTTACATTGTTTTTTCCCTGACCTTAATTTATTTATTTTTTATGGATTTATGAAGGTACACTCGTGCGCCATAGTTTCGATGCACCCTCTACCCCTGACTTGATGGAAGTCGTAGCCCTGGCTTCATACCAAACGTCCCCCGCCCCCCTCTCACTTCCCCCACCCATCGCTCAGTGGTGCAATGTGGTAGCTCGAAGCTTCGCTGGATTGTACGAATAGCAGTTCATGATGTAATATTTGAGGGAATATATGCACGATACAGTTTTTTTTAGTGACTTCACAACACTTTATTTACCATAACTATACACATTAAGCAATATACTGTTGGCAGTCAACTGGAGGTTCACATCTCTCGTGGGATTCCTGGAAGATCCTGGTTGGCACAGCCCTGTAGAGTGCTTAAGCTTCCCGTCAGGTAAACATTGGAATTCTCTTCTCTCTCCTGCCCAGGAAATACTGATAAAGGAGTCAAACTGTCTATTTTTCTCATTTATACCATCTATTAATATTTTTTTTTACAATTATCCTGCAGTGGAGAACCTAGTAATGATCATATAAATACAGTATAATAAAAATGTAATCTTACTTTTATTTTTGTATTCCATATGATACATACAGGTATATAATAAACTGAAAACAATCATAATTTACTTAATTAAACCAATAATAAAGTAACAACATAAACTTAGCCACTTCAGGAGTGGTGTAGCACTGTATCCAGGATAATGTCTGGTGAGTAGATTACATCGTCAATGGGTTAATACTTTGTCCGGCCGCCCTCGACTTTTATGACATGTAGGCGGATAGGGAGAGAGTCCACCAGGTGGCTGCAGATCTCGGGATGGCACCGTATTCCCTCCCAAACCTCATTGGCCTTCCTCTCCACCGCAGGTCTGGTTTTTTCTTCTACTTCCCACTTCTGCACCGTTATTCCCCATAGATTATCTATGGGGTTGTAATCACAGCCGTTTGAAGGCCAGTCAATTAGGCGATTTTCGGGGTTGCAGGAAAACCATTCTCTCATTACCCGGCTTGTATGTATTGGTGATAGGTCCTGGACAAACCTTATCGGATCTGGCTCAGGAATACCATATGCTCGGACGGCAGGGAGGAATGACGTTTCCAAACTGTTGACATACTCTTCTCCGTTAAAATATCCTTGAATGGTAATAAGCTCTCCATGGACCACCATACAACATCCATCCGTGGAGGGAAACAGTAACCCTGCCGCTCCTCTGTCGCTCAAAGATGTGGTTTGCCCGATAACGGGTGTTTTCACTGCGCCAACGGTGTCGACCTGGTGCTGAAACAAAGGTAATAGTTTTTCATCACTAAAAATTACCTTTCTCTAGAAGTCTGTGCCATGGTGTATGTTTGTCTGGGCGAATCCCAGGCGTGCTGCTCTATTTTCTTCAGTTAGCACTTCCTGAACTGGGAACATCGAAGTTTATGCCAGCTTCATTTAATTGGCGTCTAGTTGTTGACGGGTGGCAAGAATGAGCCACATCTCTTGTCATTGCAATGGCGGTCGTTAGAGGGTTGGCTCTGGTGATCTCTCTGTCTCTGGTCATCCTCAACTGACGTCACCCTAGGCCGACCATTTCCCTCTTCTGCATGTCGTCTTACCCAACGTAGGATAGTTGTCCGACTAATGCCCGGGCGACGTGCTATCTACGAAACAAATGTCCCCATTGGTGCATTGGGCACGTCCATGACATCGCCCTCTTCCTGGCATTTCTGAAATACGAAAAATAATTTACTCTTTCATTATACTTATGAGGAGTGATTAACAATTTCCCATTGGTTACACACATAAACGAAAGAGAAAAGACTAACGTGGTCGTCACTGCTTCCAAAACTATTGGCTTTTTCAGGCAGTTTTCGTAACTCGGCATAACTGATGACAGTTGCCACAATAAAACTCCTATGACTTATTTACCTCATCTCTATTACTATCGACGCCCAATCCTCTACCTTCTCCCACCCTTCCCCTTCCACCTGTAAACCAATCCCTCACTCTTATTCTCACCCCAACTGTCATATCTCCTCCTTTTCCTGTCTGCAACCCCTCATGCCTGTCCGCCCACAAATCTCGCCCGACCTTCCCTCACCAAACTATGATTCTTCTCTGTTTTCCCATTCTCCTTTTCCTTGTATCCCCCAATTTACAATGCACCGTATCGTTGTCATATGCCCAATTCATTCTCACTTGTCCCCCTTATTATAGCCCAGATCATAGACTTTCTTTTCTGGCTCCCATTAATTAATGCATAAAGAGAGACTTAAATATACTGTTTATGCTCCAGTATGTTACTATACCTATACATTCCCACACATTAAGTGACATATTCGGGAAATGATTTTCTACTTCAGGGATATGAATGGATAATTTATCTATAACATTATAAATACTGTCAAGCAGACACGTTGCAGCCCACTGCAGCTGCAATAGATAAAACGTATAGCATCTTGAATTACGCAACATTTCTACAGGCGATCATATATCACTACAACTATTAAAGTAAACTAATACATTGTATGTAATGCAAACAATGTTCTTACCTTGTTAAGTATCACCGCCTTCTTGTGCAGTCCTGAGGCATGCTGCTTTGAAGACAACTTTTGCCTCACAAAAACGGCCCAGCCAGCGGCGGCTCATAACGAAACTGAGTCACACAAACAATCTGCCAATCTTTAGATATCTTATTTGCCAGAGAGGCTGATTATCATGCATCTGACTGTGTGATTATGGGTGAGATACCAGTATCAACATACTGGCTGAATAATCACATTTGCAGAATAATCATGCACCTGTGAAAAGCAGACATGCGCTGCAAAACTCAAATAGGTGCGAGACCGAGATTTTCACATGGATTTTTATTATTTTGTCTCAACGTTATGCGTTTTTCATACCGATATCAGCCTGTATAATTCCGACCACAAATTCATTATGGAAGACTATTCGTTCTATCCAGCGAAGCCTCGAGCTACCACCTTACACCACTGAACGATGAGTGGGGGGAAGGGGGGGAGGGACCGTTCGGTTTGCAGTCCTGACTACGACTTCCCTCGAGCCAGGAGTGGGGGTAGAGGGAGCATTGAAACTATGGCGCTTGAGTGTACAGGTGTGCTTGTGTCTTTCAAGTCTTTGTCTGTCATGTGTCCAGAGCATATCTGTTATCAAAGGAGAATTTGTTATTACTAGACCAATTTTAGACTGTCAAATTCAAGTGTCTGCACCCAAAGTCAAGGTTAATGTAATGGATGTGTTATGAACCTTATTGCTCCTTTTGGAAAATCTGGTCACTGATATTTGAACATTCATTGTTTCTTTCCCAATAAAGTTGGATGAAATATGGTTTATCACTATTGTATTTATAAATCTGTTGCTTCTTGGTAAAGGTTTGCATTTCAGGTTTGATTATGCTTTGTTTTAGCTGATTCTACTTCCATTACCTCAGGGTTGATATTTGTTTTTACTGATATCTTCAATACTATTGTTGATGCATAATTGAAACTAAGTTGGTAGATGCATCATGCTGAAGGGATTAGTATTGATGCTCCTTGTTATCAGAGTTACTGTTATTAATGCTTAATATTACACCATTGCCTTTTGTCAGTTGTTGGTTTATGTGAGAATTTCTTCCAGAAGTTTACCGGCTCTCATTCATGCCTTTTATGTTATATATTACTGCACCACACACAGCTTTACAATGGCTTCCTTCACGTATCTTACTAAAATTATGCAAATTTTGTTTGTCTTTCCACACGCTTAATACTGCTTCTCCACATTAATGTATTGCTTATTTCTTGACTGGTTTTTGTTGCTTACTGAAAGACAACAATTGATCAGTGAAGGAAAAAAGGTTTTGACTACACAGAACCCTGGGACTTTTCAGCATTAATGGGATGTCTTGTAGCTGTGCATGATTATTAGTATTTTGTGTGGTTGTTGACAGACTGTGTACACTGCACCACAGCCAGTACAACAGAGGGTAGTGTACTCCCCACAGCAGCAGCACCAACAGGTGTTTCAAGTTGGTCCCCCTCACCCTCAGCAGGTAATGGCTCTCTTCCATTCATCATCATCAGTGCTTTATTATATCCCTTGATTATTCCCATGATTGTTATGGGTTGGCTACTTGGGTCTTTCTTCCTCTTAGTTAATGGCCCTAATCCCTATAAATAAGAATATTCATAATACTTGTAATCGAGAACAGCTTTAAATGTCAATAGTGGTGTAGCCTCCTTTGTTATTAAAAGTATAGTAAATTCATGAATTTGTTTATTTAGAACAAGCAAGTCATTCAACAACTATATGCTGTTTGTTAATACAGGTACAGCTATTTGCAATGTAGAGTTAAAATTCACAGGTGAGAAAGGCTACCTTAGTTATGTGCTTTGAAATAGCACTTGACGAACACAGCCCAGTTCCATACTTTTTTTTTTCACTGCAGCCCTTGAATGTGCTACTAAATATTTTTCACAGGCTAGCCAGTATAATATGAGATCCTGCTCTCATCATACAAAGATGCCAAGTATGGTGTTATCAAGTCGATTACCACTTGAGCAGTCTTGCCATATGTTGGTTCTTATACATTGTCTCTGATGGAAAGTTTTGATCAGGATGTGACTCAGGACAGTAAGATGACATTCATGGTGCTTCAGGGGTACTGCTGAATACTGCTTGTATTATGGAATTCTTAATGCAGAGCAATTAAGATACCTTGATTAAGCTCATTGATGGTGACTGGCCATATTTTTTGAGAGACAGGGAAGTGACAGTATAGGTAGTGGAACATAAAATATTGATAACCCTTGCCAGCCATCGACACACAGATTAAAATGCAAATGTGCTGGAGAGCAGTGGATGTGTGATATTTGTGTGCCTGATGTAAAATGGTTTTAACAGTAATCTGTGTTAGACATCACTCGCATCACTGCTTTGCCAAAAAAAAAGAAAAACGTTTGTGTTAAATGTGTTTTTGCTTATCCTCCTTACCTTTTGTTATGTAAAACAGATAACTTTATAAGCTGGATCAAGCTAACACAAAATTTGATTATACTTTGTTATTCAATATTTGTGTCATGAAAGCAATGATAAATACTGTACAATAAAGGTTTATGCAAGAGGAATCAGTGCAGACAGTGGCTTACATGGTATGCCTACCAGTATGACAGGCAACACTCTTGTTGACATACCGGTACTGTAATTAGCAAATTCTTGCCAAGTAGGATCCATTTTTTTATAGGATCCCATTCTAAAAGCCGAGGTGTGCTATCAGCCCAAAGAATGTTGATGTAAAACCCATTTTTTAACCTAGATATGCTCTAGCTCAAAATATTTTGACCCCCAAACCTAGCAATATTGAATTTATACACTGATGTGATAGTGTGAACTGTATGCAGTCTGTAGTCACCAGAATTTAATATTTATGCTGCTTATGGATGGTCTAGCATTTCTGGCCTAGCAAATGAGAGCACTAGACCAGCCCCTGGCCTAACTGATACTGCATGACTATTGCCAGCTGCCACCACTACTGCTTCTCACTTCATGCATATAAGATATTTTTACAGAAATCATAATTTTGCATAGGTATTCTTCAGTACCCTAGGTTTTGGCAATCTTTGTTTTAATCAACTGTTGTAATGCTTAGATAAAAGAGTATGGTAAGTCAATTTTGGCTAACATTACTGCTTCTCACCACAGGCAGTTGTTGTTAGATTAGTTTTATTTATCTATGGCACTTGAAGTCACTCTACAATAAAATTATTTTAATTGAATAATCTTAATATTGTAGCAAAAACCTAGCTTTGATTAAAGTAAACATAGAAGTTTGTAGGTAACAGTTACTGTACAGTATATAATAAGTATTGGTGAACATGTTCCCATTAAAAAAAAAAACTTTTTGACATTTTGTTTTGTAGGTTGTGTTTGCAGGAAGTACGGCTGTGAAGCAACAGCCAGCACAGGCACAGCATCCACAGCAAATTCTGTTACATCAACAGTTAACGCAACAACAATTATTACAACAACAGCCGCAGCAGTTTGTGTCAACACCAAACCAAAGAGTTAATAGGTAGGTACTTTAGTATAGTAAAGCATACATTGTTGTATTACTCTTGTGTGTGTGGATAGTTGAGACTAGTCTATAATATGGTAGTTGATTTCACAGATTTTATGCCGGTTATTTGGCACCTACGGGAATTGAGAGGTAAAGAGATTTTCCGTTTAGTTGAACTTGAATGTCAGTCTTAGGTTCCCCCAATAAATCCTACAATGCAGTGCTACAGACTGACCTTGTAAAAACAAAATAATGAAAACTATAAAATAAGAAAAGTAAAAAGCATGAGTGTCTATGTGTGGGAAGTGAACGTGTGTGTAGGTGGTGGGCTATAACTGTATGGCTGTGCACCCTACCCCCTGATGTTGACGTCACGACATAAACACGGTGTAGAATGGCAGTAACACGTCTGTGAGTCAGCTGGTTGACCTTTTTTTTAACAGGGAATAGCCCACCCGGGCACAGGTCATTGACCCACAACAGGGCTGGGGGGTGAATAAGAGTAAAAAGAAATTAGAAATAGAAGAGCAAAAAACTATATTAATCTACACCACGAAGATGCCGGAAAACCAGCTTTTTGAAGTGAAACAGATTGTAAGAGTATGGAAACACAGAAGAAGGCAGAGCATTCCACAGTTTGGCTGTGTGAGGAAAGAAGGATGTACTATAACGGGATATTCTAGTGTGACCGACATCCACACAGAAACAGTGGGCACTGTGGGCAAGACGAGTGTTACGAACCCACGGCCTTGCCGGTGGTACGCAGGATGCCAAATCCACCGAACATTGGCCGTTAAAGTACCTGTAAAAGAGAGAGATTGAAGCAACATTGCGGCTAAGAGAAAGGGAAGAGAGATTATCGACTAAAGGAGGAGAGTTAATAAGACGAAATGCCTTTGATTCCACCCTATCTAACAGTTTGGACAGAAGAAGAGCCACCCCAGATATGAGAGCAGTACTCCAAGTCAGGACGAATGAATCCCTTATAAACTTGAAGCAACTGCTCAGGATTGATGTAACCTTGCTGAACTGTGTCAAGTTGCCCAGATGATGGTTTGAGTATGGAAGGAGCTATTTTTTGTATATAAAATATGTGCCTTTGCATTTTATGATGTGCTATGTATCAATTTTATTGTTTAATATAGCAGCAGACATGGCAGCTCATCCCCGTTGTGTTCAGTATTCAAACTAATGATTCTAGCTTATTTTGGAGGAATTATTATAATTTAATTTTGGTGCTGGTTACCTGGACTCTGCATAACTGGGGTTCTATTGTGTATACCGGTATATTTATATCAACATTTTTAAAGAGGTATAGTTGTGCTATGTCTTGTCAGATTCTCATTTGCATTTTTGATGATTTACAATATACTCTTGATTTAACGGAATCTGATGTAACGAACTCTCGATTCAGCGGAAGGCATTTCTTTCGTTATTTTTCACCGTATTTAGTGAATTAGTTCGCTAAATCGTGATTAATTCCGTTAATATGCTCACACCTATGTAGAATCCTCAGGCACATGATACAGTAAAACCTATTTCAGGCTACGGTGAATGTACTAAATGTATAAAAATGATAAATAATGATATAAAGATATTACCGGACAATCTGAGAAAATGGGGGGAAAATCTCTCCAAACCTTTCTGCTCCGGGCCTAGGGACAAAGGTTCCCAGTATTATGAAACATTGCACCATGTTTAGCCACATCCTCACATGGTTGGTGCGTGGGTGGGAAGACGAACCACTTGGGTAATGCTGGATTTTCCTGCTCTGGGTCTATTGATAATTACTGTGCAAACATAAATATTTCTTTAAATGTATATACAATACTAAAAATAGTAAAATAATACAGTAACAAGTCAATGTAACTCAGAGCTGAGCTAATGAGGCTTGATTTGGCTACTTTTGCATTTACGACAACTGACCAGGGCACATGGAGACACACTAAACACTGGTGATGCCACGAAGCTTTGCAACAGCAACCACAATGCATAAATTATCACAACCTGTACTTTACTCAAATTAATCGACATCTTACAAAAATTCCAGCAAAGCAAATTATATTCTGTTAAGTCATGGCAGTGATATTTTATAATTGAAATACTTAAACTTTTATAATCCTAAGACCCTGACCCCTTCCCCCTCCACTGATAACTACGCACCCGGTAATCTCCGAAGCCTCCTGGTTGTCAACACCCCACCTCCCCCTCCTTCCAACGAGCAGGGGAGGCGAGATGGTGGTGGGTGATAAGGATTTTATATGATGAAGGTAGTTTTAGGCTTGAGGTTTTTATCTTGTAAAATGACACAGACTTGACTTAGCAGAATATAACTTGCTTTGCTGGAATCCTTGCAAGATGTTGACTAATTTGAGTACAGTAGAAAAATACCATAGTTTGCACAAGCGATAGTAAATATTGCTCAAAATTATGGATTTTTCAAATACAGCATAGTCTGCATTTACCCGGTCAATTGAACCCGTGGAGGTCCGCGTAAAACGAGAAACGCGTAAACGAAATAACAGAACATATGGGATTAATTGAAATAGAGACTGGGCCTACTCCCAAGCTTCACTTTTTCCGACACAGTTGGTACCTTGTAGTAAAAATGACATCATAATTTTATGATGGTATTGCTACACACATAATATCTAAATAAAAAACTACAAATCTAAAGGTGTTTAGCACTTACGTTAGTAGCAGAGATGGGTCGGCACACGTGGATGGCGGCTGGTTCCGAGGCAGAGGGCAGGTTAGTTGCCCTCCAGTGAATCACTTTCACTACTCGCAGAGGTTTGCAGGGCCTCCCTGACAAACCCCTCAAAGTCCATATCCTCACTGTCACTATCACTGACTTGGGCTGGCTGTGGTTGTGGTGGGTTGCGGGCAAAGAAGTCTTTAATATTACGTTGACGACTAGCATTGATGTTGTCGTGATAGATCTGGATATACGGCTCCATAACTTTCGTCAGATGGTTATTAGACGCTTCATACCGATGCTTGTCTGGGTCTTTGTCAAGGATGAGCTTAATTTTCTCCCCCAACTCGATGATTTCCTTCACATAATCATGGCTTGGTCCAGGTAATTCAATGTTTTTCTGGGGTGGTGGGGGTCCAGCGGAAGCCATTGTGAGGGGAATAGCGGGCACAAGAGAGAACTGTATACACGGACTGAGAACAATGAGACTGGCCCGGCTAGGTCAGCTACTTCTGGTGGCAGGCACGTCATGTTACATTAGACCAATCACAGCTCGCCGTGGAGGGAATGCGTGGGTGGTAAGGATGTGTGGCCCAATGACAGTCCGATACGTCATATGACGTCAGCGATAACTTAAAAGCAACCTAATGTGTACCCCTCACCGCGCCGCTTCCCGGGTATGGTCAAGAATGGACCGCGTGAGTAATAAAATGGCGCGGCGCGTCTGGACCTCTCCAGTCGGTCACCGCGTAAATGATGAAATTTACCGCGTAATTAAAGCATTTCATTCTGGCAAGGCACCGCGTAAATGACCAAATGCGTAAACAAAAATCACGTAAATCCAGACTACTGTATACTGTGCGAGAAACTGACCTTTCACCCCCCACCCCTGCGTCTGTCATTCTTACTGTAACTTGACAAAATATTGTTTATTTGTTATTAATTTGTACAGGATTCAATAACATGCTACAAGTAATGTACGTAAGAAATATGACCTTCTAAATACAGTAATACCCCGATTTACGCTGTCAATTGAACCCGCGGAGGTCTACGTAAAACGAGAAATGCGTAAATGGAATAACAGAACATCCTTGACCACCGAAGGGTCAAGACGTACCTGGCGCTCCTCTCGGAGCAGCCAGGTCAACTGTTAAGTTGGCCCATACCAACTCCCTCCCCTGAACCCTCCTCCCCACCGGAATATCAACATGTTCTCGCCAGAAGTTACTATTTCATTTAGGAAAGGAATGGAACCAGTGTTAAACAGAGGTGAACGGTGGTGAACAGTGCTTAAGTCAGTGAGAACAACTCAACAGTAACAGTGGTACCCAAGTTGACCTTCACACAGTGAGGTCCCAGGTACCCAGTGATAACGGCCCGTGAGACCCAACAACCAGCGATGTGTTAATCCGTCTACGATAGGATGGCCTGGAACCACACCTCACTCGTATAACACCATCTGTGAGGGAATTACTACACCACGTGAGGCCCCTCATAACACCATCTGTGAGGGAATTACTACACCACGTGAGGCCCCTCATAACACCATCTGTGAGGGAATTACTACACCACGTGAGGCCCCTCATAACACCATCTGTGAGGAATTACTAGACCATCATAACACCATCTGTGAGGGAATTATTACACCACGTGAGGCCCCTCATAACACCATCTGTGAGGGAATTACTACACCACGTGAGGCTCTTCATAACACCATCTGTGAGGGAATTACTACACCACGTGAGGCCCCTCATAACACCATCTGTGAGGGAATTACTACACCACGTGAGGCCCCTCATAACACCATCTGTGAGGAATTACTACACCACGTGAGGCCCCTCATAACACCATCTGTGAGGGAATTACTACACCACGTGAGGCCCCTCATAACACCATCTGTGAGGGAATTATTACACCACGTGAGGCCCCTCATAACACCATCTGTGAGGGAATTACTACACCACGTGAGGCTCTTCATAACACCATCTGTGAGGGAATTACTACACCACGTGAGGCCCCTCATAACACCATCTGTGAGGGAACTACTACACCACGTGAGGTCCCTCCTAACACCATCTGGGAGGGAGTTACTACACTACGTGTTTGCTGTTCAACACCTACATTAATCTGTACGTTCACTGTATGTTCCTTTACCTTTCTCTAATGAAGGCTTTTGTTAAACCACCAATGTATGTAATAAGTCATTTATGTCCAATGTATATTTTCAGCCTTCGGGCTGCAGAACTTTTTCAATAAACCGTCAATTATTATTATTATTATTATTATTATTATTATTATTATTATTATTATTATTAATTGAAAAAGATACTGGGCCGACTCCCAAACTCCACTTTTTCCGGCACAATTCCTATGTTCTAGTAAAAATAACATCTTAATTTTATGATGGTATGCACACATAATTAATATTTAAGAGAAATACAGTCGCCAGGTTAATGTCCATTCAAATAATGGACTCAACTCCCCCCCCCATGCTCGCTGGCTCCTCCCTCTCTGAGAAATGTTTGGGTGAAAACACTAGATTTTAAGGTATAGTAATAAATAATACCCCAGACTAAAGTTAGGATAATATAATTGACATTGCTGGATTCCTTGCAAGACCAGGAATATTTTGAATATACACATCATATATTTTGCTTTAAAGATAACATATTTGCTCTGTGTAAACAAAATTGTTACATTAGATCTAAAATTTGTATGTCTAATGCAAACTCCATGATGTTTATATTTAAAATGATCATCATATTGTAAGAATTCCAGCAATGTAAATTATGTTCTGGCCGGGTAATTTGTATGAATTTCATGAGCTGAAACAAATATCTTTAGTAAATGAAAAAATTATACTTCACCCAGACACTATCTGTCAATCAAAATACCCCACCTCCAGCTCCCCCCTCTTCCCACGCTCACTGGGTCCCTCCCTCCCTCCCTACCAGAGAAATGTTTGGGTTAAAACAGTATATTTACATTTTTAGTATTAAATAATACCTCAGACTAAAGTTAGGATAATATAATTGACATTGCTGGATTCCTTGCAAGACCAGGAATATTTTGAATATACACGTCATATATTTTGCACAAAAGATAACATATTTGCTCTGTGTAAACAAAATTCTTACATTAGATCTAAAACGTGTATGTCTAATGCAAAATCCATGATGTTTATATTTAAAATGATCATCATATTGTAAGAATTCCAGCACTGTAAATTATATTCTGGCAAGGGTAATTTGTATGAATTTTATGAGCTAAATAAAAAAATTATACTTCACCCCCGTATATGAGTACCTAGATGCACCGCGTAAATTGGGCATTCCGGTTCTGGCGGGGACCTCGTAAATGTGGAAACGCGTAAACGAGAATCGCGTAGACCGAGGTATTACTGTAATGGTAATGGTAATTTCTTATACAGTATCTGGCTCGGAGGAGCTGATCCCATGATTGCGCGATAAGGAAGCTTCAATCTGTTATACTGTACTTACAGATTTACTATTTGTGTGGTGAAATATTCCAAACTATTGTACAATATACTTCTTATGATATTAGGCATGACATATTGTTAATTTAGTAATGTGCATGTGTATAATATTTTTCAGAGCTCAACTTACACAAGAACAGTTGAGACAGCAGCAACAGCAGCAGCAACAGCCACAGCAGCAGGAACAACAACAACAGCAACAACAACAGCAGCAGCAGCAATTACAACAGCAACAAGTACAACAAAAGCCCTTCCAGCTTCAGCTGCAGCAACAACAACAACAAAGTCAGCAGCAGGTACAGCAGTTGCCCTTGCAACAGCATCAACAACCACAACAGCTCATTCAACAAGGACCTGCTCAGCTTCAGCAACATCTTGTACTACAACAGCAGCAGCTTGTGTCACAACAGCCTCAGCTTCAACAACAGCAGTTACTCCAAGCTGGGCAGCAGTCATCTCAACAGATCACATTCATAGAACATGTATAGTAACCCTTTTCTTTTGTGCATTCTTACCAGAGTTAAGTTATTCTCATATTATGGGATAATCTTAAAATACTGTATACAGTAAAACCTTGCTAAGGCGGACTAATGAGGTCAGGGATAAGAGGTCCACCTTAGATCAAATTTTCCAAAATGACAGCCATTTTAAATAAAAAAACGATTACAACACCAATTTACCCAATTTTTATGAAAGAAATACATAATTTTTAATCCAAATTAATAAAAAATAGGTAATATACATAAAGTACTGTACACTTCAGTACTTTTAGTTCACTGATAAGGTCTTAGGCTTAACCTTCTCATCACCTTTACAGGCACCAAACACTTAGGGGCCATGGTTGGTGTTGAATTTTTCAATAGTAATGCAAAAATGTGAATGCTACTTCAGCCTACGGTGAATGTACTAAATGTATAAAAACGATAAATAATATAAAAAGCACCAAAGATACAGTACTACTGTATTTTACGACAGGCAGTACTTTGGAAAAACTTTAGTGTATTTTCCTCCTGTAGCCATAGTTTTCTTAAAAATAATATATATAATACATTACCAGGAAATGTGAGAAAATAAAATACACACCAAAAATTACTATATTGCCAAATCAGTAAATAAAACCCAAATGAAAGTTTAACACAGCCAGCGAATTAGTGTACTGAGAAATGTATACAGTATTCCCTTTGTGTTTGTCCTAAGGACAATTATTTCTTTTACTTTTTCATAATATATATGTTGGATGGTGTGTGCATGTAGCCGAGTAAAAATAAATAAAGACCGTTACGTATATCTACCTGAAAATACGAGTTGAAAAAGAACCAGTAGCCTGGTGGTTACAGTGACGAATTTAACCTGGCTACAATGCCACTATTTAGCACTATTTCAATAAACACTTACAGTGATCCCTCAGTTAACGAACGCCTCGGTTAACGAAGTACCTTCCATAAGAATCTTCAATTCGGTTAACGAATTCCTTACGAATTCTTCTCAACGTATTTTCGCTTGCTCACCAGCTGGAATATTAGTCCGCCAATACAGTAATCGGTTCTAGGGCTTAAATTCGTTCCCATTTGAGTAAATATCAAGAAGGTTGTACTATTCAATAATTTTTAAAGTTTTATGTTTAAATTTTTAGTCATTTTAACAATTATTGAATATAATTGAAGTACAAGAAACTAGTTTTTAGCGCTCCAAACAGCCAATTGACTTACCCAGCAGGCGTCAGTTTGTGTCTGCTCAGTGGAGGTAACATCTTGCTTGAGACTCTTGATCATAAACTATTTTTACATTTTTACAGCACAATTATTGGTCATTCTGAAATTTATTTTACTTATTGACAATATATAGTGCAGTGCAGTGTTGATTTAAAGAAAATAATCTTGAATTACACCAAGTAAACTTAAAATTTTATGGGTGAAATGGCGGCATGAAGCATGGGGTGATTTCTCTTCCACCCCCGCTTCCTTCTCTTCTCCCTTCTCCTCCACCCCCACTTCTAATTCCAATCATCATCATCGACCAGGAGCCTTCTACATGCACACCTCAAAGTAAGTGTACTTTACTACATTTATTTTTAGTTTGTATGTAATTTTCGGTGAGCTGGAACTAATTACCCAAAATCCCATTGAAACAATGGTTTCGGTTAACGAAATTTTCGGTTAACGAACGACCTTCTGGAACGAACTGTGTTCGTTAACCGAGGGACCACTGTATAGATATAACAGTAAATCCAGTGAAATATGGCAGGGAGGAAGGGAGGAGAGTGACAACTGCAGATGACGCTCTAACTAGCGGTCACTCACTTGCTCCCATTGCCAGGCATGCGATCGAAGTAAGTATGGGATAACATATTAAGAAACATTGTATCATTACTAGAGGGAATGAAATATTAATCCCCATAACAACAATTGATAACTCTGACACCTGTGTCCCGCGTGCTGATGCCTTGGTCCCTTGAAATTATGTCTCGGGCGGACATGTCATCGAAGGAAAAATTTTGTCCTACCCTTCTTTAATTTTTTATTTATTTAAAATTTTTAATTGCTTTTGGGCAAATAATTTGTCCGGCTTCAGCGATATCCGCCTTAGTGGGGTCCCCCTTAACGAGGTTTTATTGTAATTACATTTGGGCTTTTGGGGATGAGTCTGCTGCTGGTGTGTGATGCATGGAGTACATGGATAACTCAGTTGACCTTAGGACCTAGTTGTGGAAAGGGGTTACCATAATAACACATTGGTAAGGCAGCTGGAATGAAGGAGATTCTTTGCTGCTCTTGATTATGGTCACTTTGTGCCATAGTGGGAACAGGATTGTAGGAATAGGTAGAGGCATCTGAATTTAATTGTGATAATTTTTTTTTTTTGAGATCTTGTGCACATAGATATTGAATGGTGCAACTTGCTCTGCATGTGTGAAGATGCTTGTGGAATGTTGTGGTTGAGTTTGCTTAAGTACAAGATATTTGTGTTATTTTTTTCAGAGACTTGAAGATGAAAAGGGTTGTATGCACATAGTACGAACCCCAATTAGTGTCAGTAATGTGCGTACCAAGTCCCCAGTACAGGTGGGTGGACAGACAGCATTGACTCAATCCACACCTCTGTTACCAACACACCCGTCTTCGCACCACGCATCTGCAGTGCTAGGTGGACCAGGGTTACGTGCAGCCACTCCTCAACCTGCAACATCCGTAGCCGTAGCTTCAACTAGGACTCAGGGTCCCAGACTACAGCGAAACAGTCCTTTACAAAGATATCCCACTCCTGTCCTGCAGCAGCAACAGCAACAGGATGAACAACAAGCTTCTTACCAAGATCAGTTTTTAAAGCAGATTGAAAACAGAATACAAACTCAGCAGAAGACTAGTGGCAGAGCCAAGGTAAACAATCCCAATACTACACAGCAACGTAGGATGCTCTCGCAGCAACTGGGGAACCAACAACAAAAGCAACAGGTGACTAGGTGTTTACCTAATGTTATGTGTCTGCTAAAATGGCATGGCTATTTTTGCTAAGTGTCACAATGTCAATAAAGTGAATAAGTTCACAAGTGAAGGACAGGGATGGTAGGTAAGGAGATGTATTTGTGCGAATAACATCTTGATCATGAATGATTACTTACAAAACTTGATATGTTGAGTTATTTTTAACCTAATTGATCTTGATATTTGTAAATAAATCTGGATTAGGAAGAGCAAAATCTTTGAAGTGTGTGGATGTTGTAGAACTGGAGTTTTTAAATGGTTAAGGTTCTTTGTTCCATTTTATGAAGTGTTGGAAGTAACGGTCACATTGTTCATCCATTGGTTTGTTTGTCTGGTCATTATGCTAGTCATGGGGAAAGAGGATTGCATTTTAATCTATTTGTGCATTCTTCGTCATTTGTTGGTGAATATGTAGGAAACTTTTTATTCTGGAAGGTTGGAAATTTGGATACAGGGCATTTATTTAGACAAACTAAAGGGTTCTAACGCATCTTCAACTTGCTGTCAGGGAGATCTGCTTCTGAGAGTTCTGATTATACTGTTAAGGTAGAAGAGTGTCAGAAATACATTTACCTGTAATTGATATGCTGTAGATAGTTCATGATTCAGTCATCTTTGTTTTACGGCTTAAAAATGAAGCGATCATTTTTTTGCTTGTTAGAACAGACGTAATTGTTTTACAGTTTTTGTTTCAGACTTCAGATAGGTAGGAAAGGAAAAATACAGTACAGTACTGGCAGTATTCCCCAGTAAATATTGTAGGGAGTTTCAGATCCATGGGGATACTCAAAGAGATAAAGAGACAATAAGTGAAACACAACCATAGAAGTATATACAGGTAAACCTCGATAAACATGTCTCGTTCGGCGAAGTTCTGCTTTAATGATTGTCGTTAATTAAGACCATCTCGCTATACTGTATGTGATAACAAAATTTGCTTTTACGATATCTATCAAATATCCACCGATAGCCATTGGTTGGATTTTTTCTTTTTTAACTCTTAATGCAACTATGGGTTGTATATATTCAAATTAATTGCTGTCTTACAAGGACTCCTGCAATGCAAATTACATTTGTCTATGTCAAGTCAGTGACTTTGCATTAGGAAACAATATATAACCCTTTGCATCATAAATCGTGCTACACCTGTCAGCCGTGGTAATATCTACCCACGCTCCACCACACGGCCAACCTGTGCTTGGTATTTTGTCAATTGCATCTCCCCGCCATCGTGTAACTCCACGAGTATAGTTCACCATTGTTGGCTGTATATTCATTGTACTTACCGTCAGTATTTCTTTTTCTTATAGTGAGAGCACAGCACTAACATTTAGATTGAACGGTGTTATGGTGACTGTGAAGTGATATTTTGTGTGTTTTTGTGACTAAGGTTCTCTGCATTTGTTGTGAAAAAGTTGTGAGCAGTGTCAGCTTTTATCTTTGTTTTTACATTATCATCATTCACTCTGTTTTTGTGACAAGTGCTTTTGCTCTGTTTTTGTGACTGTAAAGTGAGCAGTGTAGTTTTGAAAATGTCTTGGAAGGCTAAGGAATCCAAGACGACCGTGTCTTTGACGTAAAGCTTGACAATGTTAAGCATCATGACGTCTCCACTTAACCTACAAGAGTCCGCTTAGCCTCAAAGGAGAAATGTGATGACCAGGCTTACTCTTCATGATGTGGTGAGTGTTTTCTATTGATTTTATAAGTAGGATTTTTTTTTCGGTGTTACTTGTGTGTTTGGGGACACTTAGCGATGGGTTTTTCAGAAACCTAACCCCATCGTTTATCGAGGTTTTCCTGTATATAAAAAGACAACAGAACATACTGTACATTAAGCAGGAGTAATAGTTGTCAAGAAAAGAGGGTAAGCAGCAATATTTTTTTACAGTACAGTACTATGCTTAAATTACACAACTATTGTACTGTGTTGGCATTTCTGGAATGAAATAATGTGTTGTATTGACCTTTGCAAGAAGAGTACAGTAATACCCCGGTTTACGCGGTTCTCGTTTACGCGTTTCCACATTTACGCGGTACCCCGCCAGAACCGGAATGCCCAATTTACGTGGTGCATCTAGTCATATATGCTGGAAGCAGCGCGGGCAGGGTGTGCACAAGGTCGCCCAGTCATCAAAACATTACCGAGTTCTTCACCCGCCACCCACCACAGCCGGCCCAAGTCAGTGAGAGTGAGGATATGGACTTTGAGGGGTTTGACAAAGAGGCCCTGCAAGCCTCTGTGGTGGATAGTGATACAAGTGATACAGGCGAGGGCCAATAATCTGCTCTCTGCCTCGGAACCAACCCCCCATCCCCGTGTGCCCAGCCATCTTTTCTACTAATGTAAGTGTTAAAAAACTTAATATTATTGATATTTCTCTTAATTATTAATTGTGTGTTATTTTTAATACAACGTAGGTATTGTGTCTGAAAAAGTGGAGTTTGGGAGTCGGCCCAGTCTCTATTTCAATTAATCCCATATGTTCTGTTATTTCATTACGCGTTTCTCGTTTTACGCGGTACTCCGCGGGTTCAATTGACCGCGTAAATCGGATATTACTGTATTATGTAAAGAAATGTAAAATTACTTTTTAATGTTAATTTATCAGCAGTGCAGGTATTTGCTTTTCGCGGAGTTCAAAATGATTTACAGTACTGTTGTGGGAATGTGAAGCATGTAGATATAATCAAGATTGATACTTAGAAACTTATTTGTTCATCAAGCCTCCATTTCAGTCTCACTCTTCCCTTTGCACTGCTATGAAGAGTGTGCCATTAAGTATTAAATCAATTTGAATAAATATTTCTTTTTATCAATGTGATTATACTTTCAAGTGCATTTGTATGTTTAGCTGAGGTGTTGAAGGATTAAAGAATCTCATTTGACTTTCAGACTGAATTATGACACATAATACTTATAGTGTGAGCAAGTATGTGTCGGTATTTCTATTTGTTGTCTTAGATCTTTTTTATTTTTCTTCACCTTTCTTGCACTTCTCACATTATTATTTCGCCACTCCCTTAAGGTGTTGTATCCTTTGATCCAACTCACACAAGAATAGGAGAGTTTGAAGAGATCATTTGAAAGAAAAGGTCTAGTTGATGACTTTCTGATACACAGTTAATGAGTTGGCCATGTGGCCACCTTGAAATTCTGTTCTGATCCTAAGGTTGGATAATGAAGGTAAGTAATGTGACACGCTACAGCCTGTGCCTGCCTGCCTGCTTGCTTGTCTCTGTTCCTTATTGTTTGATTTTAGGTATACCATTTGTTGTCAGTAATCTGGTACAGTATTGTAAAATAAAGGTTGACAAATGTTCAAGAATTATTGTATGTGCTGTGTAAGGAAAGGCAGTAAGTATGGTATAAATGGATACAGGCAGTCCTCACTATATGAAGGGGACAGTGTTTCAAGATTGTCTCGTTCATTTGATAAAGTACCGGGGATATTTTTATTACATTAATTCAAAGTTTGAAATTTTCTTTACTTGGGAGAAAATTTAAAGAATTGGTGAGAATTTAAAAAATTTTATTTGCAGGTGGCAGGAGTACATGTAAGCCAGTCATTAATATCTGGTGTCACAAATTTCCAAAGTACAGCAGCTTCTTCCCAGCCACAACAACAAGAACATCAACAACAGAAACAGACAACAATACAGGTGGGATTGTTTACATTTGTCAAAGTTACTTCTTTGTTAAGCCCTTACACTCCTGCAGAAATTTGTGTATACTGTACTGTATTGGACTGTATCTGTCAATTGTTAACTAATTTTCATCTCAACATGAAACAGGATCAGCATAGGAGAATGCAGTTGGTGTTGTCTGGATGTTGTTTTGTTCTTGAGTAAGATCTTGTATATGATAGTACTGTATTGAAGCAAAAGATACACAAAGACTGATATGACTGTCTTTAACCACCTTTAGGAAACACATATCATAGAACTCTTGGTGCACTAGATAATTTTCTCATTTGTTTTAGAGCTTCAGTTTAATTTTGTGGCTTAACAAGGAATAGCCAAGATATTTTAACAAGTCTAATTATACCAAGTCAACCCACTTTGATTAAAAATTTTGTCCTTCACCGCGCATGACGTCATTTGGCCGGCAGCCTGGGGGGATGGTCTGGGGTGGGACCTCGGTTACCAGCTGGCCGTCGTGGTGCAAACGTCTATGACAATGCTTGATAAATGATCCGTATTTAGGTGCATATCAAATTACAGACTACACGATAAAAGTTTGAGATTTCATCGATTTCCAAAGGACGAAAAACAGAAAAGGTTGATTTTATTGTGCATGCTGCAAATATATGGGGAGCCATTGGCAGGTTTAAATTTAAATTCCCTAAAGTCTAACTTTTGGCCAGGAAACTGGATGTGGAGAGGGAAATGCAGTGGTCCCTCGGTTAACGAACACAATTCATTCCACAGAGTCGTTCGTTAACCGAAAATTTCGTTAACCGAATCCATTATTTCAATGGGATATTGGGTAATTGGTTTCAGCTCACAGAAAAGTATATACAAAGTAAAGCCAAAAACGCATAAAGTCAGGAACACTCCTAAAATTCCCCTAAATCGCCCTTAAATCACTATACAGGGTATATATACAGTAAACCCTCACTTTACGCGGTCAATTGAACCCACGGCGGCCCGCGTAAAGTGAACAACATAACATATGGGATTAATTGAAATAGAGACTGGGCCGACCCCCAAACTCCACTTTTTCAGACACAATACCTACGTTGTAGTAAAAATAACTAATTAATTTTATGATGGTATGCACACACAATTAATAATTAAGAGAAATGTCAATAATATTAGGTTTTTTAACACTTATATTAGTAGAAAAGATGGCTGGGCACACGGGGATGGGGGGTTGGTTCCGAGGCAGAGGGCAGATTATTGGCCCTCACCTGTATCACTTGTATCACTATCCACCACAGAGGCTTGCAGGGCCTCTTTGTCAAACCCCTCAAAGTCCATATCCTCACTATCATTATCGCTATCACTGACTTGGGCCGGCTGTGGTGGGTGGCGGGTGAAGAACTCGGTAATGTTTTGATGACTGGGCGACCTTGTGCACACCCTGCTCGTGCCGCTCTCCGCGTAAAAGGGTACACACACCGCGGAAAGTGAGCATTCCGTGTTCGGCAGGGTACCGCGTAAATGTGGAACCGCGTAAAGCGAGGGGTGTATGTGTGTGCGTGTGTGTGTGTGCGTGTGTGTGTGTGTGTGCGTGTGCGCAAGTAAATCACTGTAGGTGCGCATGATCTAGGTATATGCTGATAACCACAAGGAAAGAAACTATTTTAAGTAACATTTTACCACCTTCAGCAGTCTGGTTTAGATATGTTGATGATGTATTATGTCTCTGGCCATCTAATGAGGACCTAAAAGCTTTCCTGCCACAACTTAACAACTTAGCCCCCTCGATCAAATTCACTGTGGAATTAGAACAAGACTGTAAATTGCCATTCCTAGACTGTCTCATCCACAGAATAGGTAACACTTTTAAGTTCAGTATTTATAGAAAACCTACTAATGTGTGTTCATACATTCATTATTATACCGCCCACCATAATAGAGTCAGTCAGTCAGTATTTTCAACAATGTTTTTACGTACTTTGAGAATTTGCAGCCCGGAATTCATTGATGAGGAATATAAATATATCTATAATATTGGCTCAAACCTTAAATATCCTAGATCTTTCATAGACAAATGCCTGAACATTACTAAGAAATCTTTTTATAGAACTGATCCCAAGCCCACCCATGACCATAAGAATATCTTAATATTGCCATTTCACCAAAATTTCTCTCAAATTCCTTTACAACTAAAAACCTGGAACGTCAATGTGGCATTTAAAAACTCATACGCGGTGCCTCGCCAGAACCGAACTTTCACTTAACGCGGTTCATCTACTCATATACGCGGGAAGCGGCGCGGGCACGATGCGCACAAGGTCGCCCAGTCATCAAAACATTACCGAGTTCTTCACCTGCCACCCACCACAGCTGGCCCAAGTCAGTGATAGTGATAATTATAGTGAGGATATGGACTTATATGGACTTTGAGGGGTTTGACAAAGAGGCCCTGCAAGCCTCTGTGGTGGATAGTGATACAATTGATACAAGTGATACAGGTGAGGGCCAATAATCTGCCCTCTGCCTCGGAACCAACCCCCCATCCCCGCAGGGCCGGCGCTACCCACTAGGCAAACTAGGCGATCGCCTAGGGCGCCAACATCTGGGGGCGCCACAAATTCAGGGCAAACTTGGATAAAATTAAAAATGAAGGGAAAACTGTGGTGGACACTGTGGTGGAGCCGTGGAGGGTCGGAGCAGGATGTTAGAAGGGTGGGGGGTCGGAGGGAGGCGAGGGTAGGTAGACGGTAGCCGACTGTGTTTTCTTTTTTAATATTATTCGTTAACCCCCCGGAGGGACTAACCCGGGTCCTTATCTTTGGCGGCCTGGAGAACTGTCGAGCAGTGACCTGAAGGCTGACATCTGAGGAACCCTTCTCCCAACCCCACCATCCCCTCCCCTCCCTTACTGCCAGGGCGGCTGAGCCGCCCCTTCCCTGCCTTTGTCGGGATGAGGCAAGGTTACCTGACCTCTGAAGTTTACGTCAAGGATTTATTGACTTAATGTAATAACAATAATTGGTTATTTGCATGGGTGAAGTAATAAAGCCACAAGATGAAAACAATGTAGTAATGGGTTACTGTACCTACATTAGCTTATCAAAACTTTCAAGGGGGCGCACATCTAAAGGCTTGCCTAGGGCGCCAAATCATCTTGCACCGGCCCTGCATCCCCGTGTGCCCAACCATCTTTTCTACTAATGTAAGTGTTAAAAAACCTAATATTATTGATATTTCTCTTAATTATTAATTGTGTGTGCATACCATCATAAAGTTAAGATAATATTTTTACTACAACTTAGTTGTGTGTCGTCAAAAAGTGGAGTTTGGGGGTCGGGCCAGTCTCTATTGGAATCAATCCCATATGTTCTGTTGTTCACTTAACGCGGTTTTCACTTAACACGGTACCCTGTGGGTTCAATTGACCGCGTTAAGCGGGGTACTACTGTATATATAAACACTCTTACTCTTAAATCACTACTGTAATGTGATACAGGTGATTAATTTTTATCTCTTGTGCAAAATATATGACGTTTATATTTAAATTATTCGCTGTCTTGCAAGGATTCCACCAATGCAAATTATATTCTAACTTTAGTCAGAAATATTATATATGATAAAAACTGTAAGCCTAAAGCCCTGGCTGGGCAGATGGGGGAGAGGGAGGGAGGGAGGGACGGACGGAGCGTGGGGGGGGAGCGGGAGGTGAGGTGATGTTTGACAGTTGGCGCTCAAGGTCTAATGTGTGTTTATTTATCAGTCTTTAAGTGATTTAGCTTCTCTCTTATAAAATGCCAGTGAAATGACCTGGGAGAATATAATTTACATTGCTGGAATTCTTGTAAGATACTGATTAATTTGAATATAAACATGCTATAATTTGCAGTAGACATAACAATTTTAGTACCGTCATCAATTTAGTACTGTACATGTACGCTCCATCCTTGTACTAAGGTCATTTATTTCTTTTACGTTTCTTTTAGTATGGTGTGTGCATGTAAATGGATGAAAATAAATGAAGAAATTTATGTAAATCTACTCAAAAATACAGTTGAAAAACTTTATATTATAAAATGTAATACCTACTGTATACTAATGTACTTACAGTTTTTATCTCTTGTGCAAAATATATGATGTTTATATTCAAATTATTTACTGTCTTCCAAGGATTCCAGCAATGCAAATTATATTCTCCTAACTGTAGTCTGTGATATTATATAAGATAAAAACTGTAAGGCTACTGTATAACCACCAGACCTTTGCTGGGGGGGAGGGAGGGAGGGGAGGTGACAGTGACATGTTTGACAGTTAGCGCTGAAGGTCTAGTGAAGTATTTATTTGTTTATTTATGTTGCTTAGATTGAGTTTTTGTTTTTTGCTTATAAAATTTCATAGAAGTGACCGGGGAGAATATAATTTACATTGCTGGAATTCTTATAAGATAGTAATTAATTTGAATGTAAACATGCAATAGTTTGCACTAGACTAAAATTTTAGTACGGGTATTCATTTTGCACAAATATTAAAGAGCACAATTTTCTTGATAGTTACTCCACTGGAAATTAATGTAAACATAGAAAAGATGACTGAATTATTGAATTGGCAGACTAGCCCACGAGCTGATGCTCACAACAAAACGTGATGTTCGTAAGGATTTCGTTAATCAAATTTTTGTTCGTTAACCGAATTGAAGATTCTTATGGAAGGTAATTCGTTAACCGAACCATTCGTTAACCGAGGGGCCACTGTACTTTTCTGTGAGCTGGAACCAATATCCCATTGAAACAATGGATTCGGTTACGAAATTTTTGGTTAACGAACGACCCTCTGGAACGAATTGTGTTCGTTAAACGAGGGACCACTGTACCTATTTGTTGCTTTAAACTGTTGTATAGCCTAGTCATCAGTAATACAGGTACACCACCAATTTTCCGGGAACTGATGGTCCGGCACCTCCTTTAGTCCAGACAAAATTATGAAAGGGCACTTTACTTCCCTCCCAGCCTGGGCGAAGGTAGTTTTAGGCTTAAAGTTTTTATCTTATAAAATGTCATAGACTAAATTTAACAGAATATAACTTGCATTGCTGGAATCCTTGCAAGATAGCAAAATTTGAGCATAAATATCACACAGTTTGCACAATATATAATTTTTTTTGTCTTTTAGTGTAATACATTTAAAAATGTTTCTGAACTCGTATTTTCTGGTAGACACACATAACTTTCTTTGTTTATTTTTACTCATTTGCATGCACACACCATCCTAAACACATATTGTGAAAAAGGGTAAAAGAAATAATTGTCCTAAGAGCAAACCTGTACTCAAATGTACAAAGTTAATTACTAAAACTTTTATGTCTAGTGCAAACTATGGGATGTTTGTATGCAAATTAATCACTATCTTACAAAAATTGTAGCAATGTATGTTATAGTCAACCAAATCATTTTAATGACATTTATAAGCAAAAAACTTAGTCTCTCTATTTGACTAAAAATATGCACTTGGTAACCTCCGCTGGCTGTCAACACCTCACCTCCCTCTCCCACATCCTCCCAGCCAGGGTGAAGGTGGTTTTAGGCTTAAAGTTTTTATTTTATAATATGTCGCTGACTAGACTTGGCAGAATATAACTTGCATTGCTGGAATTCTTGTAATATAGTGTAGTACATTTGAGTACAAAGTGTGTACAGTAATATGTTGCTCAAAATTATGGCTTTCTCGCATTTCATTTACATTTTACATTTGTTTAATTTATGTTTCTAGCATTTCATGGTGCTTTAGAGACATGGGAGGTGCATAATTAGTGGGTCAGAGGTGAATTGTTGAATTATTATTACGTGACCTCGTTTGGTCCGGCAAAATGGATAATCCGGCAAGGCTTTGAAACCAAGGGTGTTGGAAAATTGGTGGTGTACCTGTATATTTAGTGGCCATATTGATAAATTGTATTCTCTGATTTACTGTAATAGCTTGGGGAGAGAGAGAATGATAATTATAATCATTAAATATTTTTATTATTTTCTTTAACTGTTATATTTAATTCATTATTTTTTGTCCCCCCCCCCAGTAAATAGCTAGCTCATATGCCTATTATTACTTACTTAATTGCTTTTTAACTGATACTGGCAGCAAAATCATTATCGTATAAATTATAATAAAAGAGGAAAAGGAGGATTGTTAATAAGAATAAATTTTTAATAATATCCTAAAAATGATGATTACATGAGAAGTCCAAGTGGCTAACTGAAAGATAATGTGCTAAGGGATGAGAAAATCTGGATAGCTGGCAAGAATGTCTTCTGATACAGTGGTTTGGTCTCACCCGGGATCCACTACATGCCAACGACGTCACATAATAAGCTCTGCCCATGCGTGTGGGTAGACTTGGTTCATTTAGATTTTAATTCTAACATTCTTGTGCCATTGTTAAGTAACTGCTATAGTTGTATGGAAGCTATATATTTTTTCTTTGTCAATGTTGGTATTGGTGTCTCCTGTGGCTTGGGTAGGCTTGTTAATGTCAACCTGTGGGTTTATTTTGCAAGTACAGTAAGTTTATCAATACCAGGGCTGTGGAGTCGGAGTCGAGGAGTCGGAGGAAATTTTGGCTTGTGGAGTCGGAGTCGGTAAAATTGTCCAGACTCCGACTCCAGCTGAATCTTGATTGCACTGAATTGCCATTTTCTTCACGAGCTTAGTAATAGTATTAGTATCTGAGTATTTCCCTCCATTATTTAATTATATTAAATCCCTTCAGCCCACTATAAGAGGGTTGATAGAAAAAAAATGAAACTTCTGGTTTTATTTAGTCAACTGCAGGAACAGTTGCCATCCTGCGTGTAGTTTGAAAATGTAATGCTAATATAAATCACAGAGTAATTTGTAGCTTAGCAATTTCCTCTGACTTACTTCACATTTTTACATCTATTATTCTATCATACAACCTCTAAGACAGTTCAGAACTTCAGTGGGAGCTTTCTCTATAGATAAGGATTGGAAGAGTTTTATTGATGTGCAAATTATATATACTAAATATATTTTCAAATTATCATGTGTACAGTGCAGTACTATTACACAATTTTATCTATCTACCTATATATATCTAACGTAGATAGATAGATAAAGTGGTGCATTGCTTAGATAGCTAGGTAGATAGATAGATAGGCAGAGATAGGGACCGCAATACTGTCCGTTGTAGCAGTATAGCCACGGTGTTTTACTTTTTACCTACGCAGGTTACAACATACAAATTACAATTAGGATGGTAGAAATAGTTGTTACAAATAGGCCAAGGAGTCGGAGTCGGAGTCGGAAGCATAAAAATTTGAGGAGTCGGTGTCGGAGTCGAAGGTTTTGTCTTCGACTCCACAGCCCTGATCAATACATTGGTTTCTGACTGATTAACCTATGGGGATATGTGTCATTACAACTGGTCTTGCAAGTTTGATTGAGTTGTATTATAACGTTATAGGGATCATTACCACTACTCATTTTTATTGGTCCCTGGATAAGGTCATTGTTAATAAAAAAAACTAGGTTAGTGGTCAACTACACTTTTTTTAATTGCTGGTATCTTACATTTTGTGAGTACTGTATTGGGATTAACTGGCAAATATATGGAGATCAGAATTTACTGCTGATGGGTGATGCTGGGTTGTATGAAGTAACAGGAGTACACTTGTAATGAAGGGGGAACATCATAATAGGACACATCTGTTTTATAAGGAAAAGAGAATGAACAACAGCAAATGATTGAAGAGTGTATTGCACTTTTTACTGGCCACTTAGCACCATGTGAGAAAAGACTTGCAGGAGTGGAAAAAAAACAAAACATTGCACACCAACATTGATTTATATGAAGGAAAACATGGGTAAATATAATGCATGATCTCATACTTGCAGAACACATCACCAACCAAAAAGTTATCTTTAAAGCAGTACCGTAAGCGGGTGTCCGAGGACCTAAAGCAACAGCAACAGCAACAGAAATTGGTGGCACAGATCCAGGCAAGGGCCCCCAATGAAGAAGTCAGAATGTAAGTTCACAACTCATCTATTATAGATTTTGGCTCTACATAAGCTTTGGTTGATGTTGTCTTTTGCAATATTGTATTCAATTAAATTCCATATACAGTACTGTAATGTACATATAAATAGATGATTCAGAATTTGGTAGGATATATAAAGATGAAATATATAAACTCATCAGTGTGATTGAATATTACAAAGATCTTTGTCTATTTGAGTTTGATGCCAGCTAAATGAAACTTCAGATAAGGGTAGATAAATTTTTATGAGCCACTAACTTTTAAATATGACAAATGTCTCCCATCCTCTTGTAGACCTCTGGCAGTAAACAACCAGTTGAAACAGCAATATCTGTATGTGCAGCAGTCTAATGGAAAGAAGGTGTTAGCGGTGGTTCCTCTCAGTCAGACTGTAACGACAGCAGTTTCCCAACAGGCTCCTACTTCTACTTTAACTACCTCAGTGTAAGTAAACAAAATCTGGTGCCTCTGTATATTCAGCACTTGCTTAACACCTTTCACTTGCTTATAGTACTCTTCCATTCTGTCCTTGCACTTCTTTTTCAGTCTTGCTTTTTTGCTTTACAATACCTCTTTTTCCTTTTTGTTATTTCACTAGATTATGGGAGTTTTCATTAATGCTACCAGGATAAGGTCTAATTAATGCGTGTTTGTGAAATAGGGGATGATCTTACATATTTATTGAAATGAGAATAGGGAATGTAATGCTGTCTACCGCAGTTCATGTTTAATGTTTATATTAACATCTTCCAAGGACATTTCGTGGTAACTTAAAGTGTTTCTCTAGCAGGACCCCACAGTTCATCACTTCGTCTGCAGGCAGCAATCCAGTGTTTACAGTAAAGCATGAAGATGAAGTCTTAATGTCAGGAATACCACCAGGATCCAAGTTACAATCTCCCTCCTCGTCCTCCACATCCTCCTTGTCATCCACATCTATAGCTGTTTCTTCATCTGGCATTGCTTCCACAAACTCATCGACGTCTCCTCCAATTCAAGAACAAACTGTCCATTCGACAATATCTTCAGAACAAACAGACAAGGGTCCAGTAAGTACAACTTTGGTTATTCATATTATTAGCAAATACTAAGCATAAGCTACACTAACAGGAAAACAAATGAAGTACTAAGATTAGCAAAAACTTAAAGAAATACTTGAAATGTAGCTACAGAAAAAGAAAAATGAGATACTTAGGTCATAATTAGGGATGAAGGGATAATAACAGAATTATTAATGGACAAATTTGAGGATAGGAGGTCAAGGGAAGGCAGAGACTGGAATGATTGAATGGAATTAAGAACTGGGTCCCCAAAGAGATGCAAAACCTTTTGTAAAAGTATTGGTAAAAACAGTCTGAGAACATTTAGAGTGGAGGACTGTGGTTGTCAACCCTCATATATGAGGAAGGTTCTCTGATTGATTGATTATGACAGAATCAGTCCAGTGTATGTAATACATGTGGTGATAGTAGGCTGGGTGATAATCATAACAATCATGGTGATTAGTTGTCACATTTAAATTGATGATTGTCGTCAGTTATTTTAAGTTTCATGATAATTGGCAGCATGGTACTTTTTAAATAGAAATGGGCGTATAATTGAAAACACAAAATTTTAATACTACTTAATATAAAATAGTAAATCAACACAACACTCTATCTGTGCTATTAGTGCATACCTTTGTATTTCTTCTTTGCCAGGTGGGGAGCCAAGATGAATATTTTATTTCTTGAATTAATGTTTGCAACTACAATATTATCTTGGCAAATGGGAAGATTGTAAGTTTCAACCTCAGCTTTTGATCTTTGTCTGAACTGCCTTGTTGAGAACATCCCCTCTGATTTTTTCCAAGTGCTATACCTCATTGTTATTCAGGACAGAATTTAATTACAGGGTTTATATATTTCTTCAACACCTCCCGTTCTGCATTTTTCCTCCCGCTTGTTTTTGTAGTACTTAATTTAAAGTTGTAGTGGTCAAGAACCTTAAGCTACCTTTAACAAGTATTGTACACATAGTCCCAAATTCTCTAAAGTTTTGTGTTCAGTTTTCTTCTTAACACTCTTGGGGTTTTCATATGCAAAATTGCATATGGTCAAATTTATTGCATTTAGGGTTTTAATATGCAATTTTGTGTACGAAGTAAAAAATTAAAATAAAATAATTTTATGTGCGTATGAATGCTAGACACGCAAGAAGCACATTTGGCAATGCCATCATGATCTGGCAGCTATGTAGACTGCACTCCAAGGTCACCACACCGGTCTCCCTTTTGTGTTTAAAGGTCCCAGGATATAATGTTGGCAAGGGTGGAGGAATGGGAAAACATAAAAAGTGCAAGGAGATTACACCACGTTGTGAATAGTGTGGTGACTCCTGATGCCTCTCCCTAGCGAAATATTAATTTTTTCACAACTTTTCTTCTGTAACTATTTTTCTTCATTATGTAATGTATGCTTTAGAATGGAATAAGGTTCATATTGCAATCACATGAAATAACAAAGTTATAAAGTGATGTATAAACATTTTCATTAAGCGTAAACAAACATTTTTTGTTCTACTCGCGCTTACGTATAGAAATAATTATATGATCATGATTACCGGGTACTCGTATAAAAGTGTTTGTAGATAATTTATTTATAATGATAATGCAACAAACCCCCCACCTTTTTATCTCATATATCAAGCTTGCTATTACTCATTACGTATAATTTTCTCTCGTGCGGTGCAGTCTAGTGCGGTGAGTGAGTAACAGGTCAGACCCAGAGCGTCTCATGGGAGAGTGCCTACCCAAACCCAAGAGTGTTAACTGAAGATATAGGTTGCATCTAACTGGCTGGCTTAAATGATAAACAAAAGAATAACATCCAAAATAACCTTAAAATCACAGACTATCTTAATCAAGATACATTCTCTTAATAACAGTACAGTGGTTATTGAGCTATATTTCAAAAGCCCTGAAGATAATCCATACTTGTTCAGCAGTCAAACAGTGTGAATGATTTTATTTATTTTTACCTCTGTAAGTGAGTAAGTAAAGGGGATACAGTTTATTGTTTGTAAAATGGAGCAGTTGGTAAACTTGCTCTGCTCATCATGTTGGTTGACTTTTTTCATATCATATTGGTAGACCAATATGGTAAACACGTTTCGTACCATGTTGAGAAGGATTAAATTGAGACTTGTGTAATCCTTGATTCACCGCTTACAAAAGTGGGAGAGACCTAGGTAGAAATGTTTTATATAGCCTAAATTAGATATTATTTTGCATGAATGGACTGTTTTATTTTGCAGCTGAGAAGCTGTGATGTATTTTTGGATAGATAAGGTAGAGCAGCTAGAAATCTTCACACGAGTTAAGTATTTAGTATGAATGTGTATTATTATTTTTTTGCAGGCGGATAAACCGCGATTTATAGCTGGACGTATAGCTGTGTGCACGAACTGTGGTATTTTAAGTGAAGACCTAAATCGCTGCCAAAGGTGTAATCGTAGGTTACCAGACCACGTGCGGACTGTTTCCTCGACCACCACCACCACTACTTCCACCAAGACTTCCACTTGTGATTCAGTGGCTATTTCTAACAGGGGGATTTCACTTTCATCGCACTTTACTAAACAGGTAACTAGCTGGAATATTTTTTTCCGAATTTCTCATGGATTTGTATGAATGTGAGGCTGCCTGAGTTAAACCCAGCCTAAAGGCATATTTGACATGTTGAAAAGAGTGATTAGTATTTTAAGTATAGTGATACTTACATTATTTGAGAAAAAAAAATCTTACTAAGAGTGAGTTATATTTTTGGTAATGATTAAGACAGGCTGGACTGGGTGAAGGTGGATGTCATGTGTTTGTTAACAAAGGACAATAGATGACATGAACCAAACAAACAAACCAATTTCTTCATTCTTTCTTCATAAGGTGGGTTTGGTTGCTTCTTGTCTAATGAAGAGCAAAGCCAGGATGCATTCCTTGGGTCAAAGCTTATGGTTATTTATAACTGTGGTTACAAATCATTGAACAAAAATCTTGTGGATGAATCAGTTTAAGAGGTAATTTTAGAGTGAAATTTTAACAATGCAAAAGTCTTCAATCTTTGTAGAGTTTACAAAGTGACATAGCATGTATGTATATTATCACTGCTTGGCTTGTACTTACTATTATATTATATGATAGTTTATTGTAACTGGAGGTTCTCATGCAGCCTTACAAATTTATGAATCTGAGAATTTAAAGCCACTCATATAGAAAGAGAGTGTATATTACATATCAACTGTGATAAAAACCAAAATGTGTACAGTACTTGAGCTTACTACAGTACTTGACCTTTAGTGGAAGTACTCCAGTATGTTTTATTATGTTATGTATTCTTTGTGTTTGTTAATCTAAACATTTTATTTATGTTATGAGTTTTGTTTTTGTTTACTTTTGTTTTACACTGCACCCACCTGATCTGATCAGCATTATGAATGCAATTTCTCTGTGAAATATTTTTTTTCACTTGGGATATAACCTTTAAATGTTCATAGGCATACACATCTGAGAAAGGAATATGTGCTTTAAAATCTACTAAATATCTTGAGATTTCATAGTAATAAGAGATGCAGTCAAATATATATATATATATATATATATATATATATATATATATATATATATATATATATATATATATATATATATATATATATATATATATATATATATATATATATATATATATATATATATATATATATATATATATATATATATACACAGAGAGAGAGAGTAGTAATTTATGCGGTCAATTGAACCCACAGGGTACCGCGGAAAGTGAAAACCGCGTAAAGTGAACAACAGAACATATGGGATTAATTCCAATAGAGATTGGCCCGACCCCCAAACTCCACTTTTTCCGACACAATACCTATGTTATAGTAAAAATAACATCTTAATTTTATGATGGTATACTCACACAATTAATATTTAAAAGAAATACAGTCGCCAGGTTAATGTCCAGTCAAATAATGGACTCAAATCCCCCCCCCCCTTTCCCAGCTCACTAGCTCCTACTTCTCTGAGAAATGTTTGGGTGAAAACACTAGATTTTAACGTTTAGTAATAAATAAAACCTCAGACTAAAGTTAGGATAATATAATTGACATTTCTGGATTCCTTGCAGGTCAGGGAATATTTTGAATGTAAACTTCATATATTTTGCACAAAAGATAAAATATTTGCTTTGTGTAAACCAAATTATTACATTAGATCTAAAATTTGTATGTCTGATGCAAAATCCATGATGTTTATATTCAGAATGATCATCATATTGTAAGAATTCCAGCAATGTAAATTATATTCTGGCCGGGTAATTTGTATGAATTTTATGAGCTAAATAAAAAAGAAAAAAAATTATACTTCACCGCGTATATGAGTAGATGCACCGCGGAAAGTGAAAGTCTGGTTCTGGCAAGGTACCGCGTAAATGAGAAATCGCGGAAAGTGAAACCGTGTAAAGCGGGATATTACTGTGTGTGTATACAGTCAACTCTCACTTTACGCGGTCCCACATTCCGCGTTTACGCGGTACCCTGCCGGAACCCAGGATGCTCACATTCCGCGGTGCGTGTGCCCCTTTACGCGGAGAGTGTCCGGCTCGACGCTATTTTTAGATTTGCCCCACCCGCCTGCTCCTGCCTCCTCCCTCCTCCGCCTCCGCAAGCCGCGCGGTAAGGTTGCGCAGTGCATGTCTCTGTTGCGTTATCACTGACGTCATATGACATATCGGACTGTGATTGGCCATGCATCCCTACCTCCCTCCGCTGCTAGCTGTAATTGGTTTTAAGTAACATGACGTGTCCACCTGGGGGAGGGAGGGAGGGAGGAAAGTCGACGCTTGACCTAGCCACGGCAGTTTCATCCCTCCAGGCCACACCGTGTAATCGTGCATCCATTGTTCTGTAAAATGGCTTCAAACGGACCACCGCCCCCATAGAGAAACCTTTCCTTGCCTGGACCCAGCCGCCCTAAGCCCAAGAAGACATGACGTTCCTTAAGCTATGAGGTGAAGTAGAAGATCATCCAAGAGTTATAGAAAGGAACAAGACAGGTTGATTTGGCGCGCCAGCATGGTGTGAACGAATCTACGATCCGGACGATAAAGAAGGATGCAGCCAAGATAAAGGAGCACATGAAGATCACAAAGTCTACAGGTGCTTCTATGATCAAGTATTTCCACAACCAGGTGCTTCTCAAGACGGAAAAATTACTTGTGAGCTACTTGGTGCGTCAGGCTCGACAGAACATGGCGGTCGACACGCGCTCTGTTAAGGAGTACGAACGTGAACTGCATGCTGCAGTGTCACGAAAGATGGGAATTACAGAGCCCAAACCCTTTAATGCTTCCTCTGGGTGGTTACAGAGGTTTAAGATGCGGAACAAGATCACCAATATAAACATTGGTGGTGAAGAAACTAGTGCTGACCGTGCTGCGGCTAGGGAATTTCCTCCGTTTTTACGTGAGATTATGGAGGAAGGACAGTACACCGATGACCAGGTGTTTAACATGGACGAATCTGGTCTTTTTTGGAAAAAGCTACCTTCCAAGACCTTCGTTGTGAAGAATGCTAGCAAGATTCGGGGCCGGAAGATGCAGAAGGAGCGCATCACCGTCCTGTCTACCACCAATGCCTCCGGTACCTGTAAGCTCAAGTTATCGGTGATCCACACAGCCCGCAAGCCGCACGCCTACAAGAGCATGGACATGACCAAGCTAAATGTTCACTGGCTGACCGCACGTAAGGCGTGGATGTTCTCTACACTGTCCCTCTCCTGGTTTGATGACTGTTTCGTTCCCGATGTAAAGAAATTCTGTGAGCAACAGAATGTGCCATTCAAGATTTTGTTGCTGCTGGACAACGCACCAGGACACTCGCCCCTTCTGTTAGATCGTCACCCCAACGTAAAAGTGGTCTTCCTTCCTCCCAACACTATTTCTATATTACAGCCCATGCACCAAGAGTTAATCTGTAATGTAAAAGCTGCATTCTCAACAAAAAAATTCAAGCTCCTGAACGACTACACCAACACCAGGGAAGAGTTGCGTAACCTGATTGACACCACCACTGATAGCAAGAGCGAAGGCGACAAGGATCAACAGTTGGCAGAGCAAAAAATACTTTTCAAACAATTCTGGAGAATATTCAACATCAAGAAAGCTGTGGACTTCTTGGTGGAGGCATGGGATCAGCTGTCTGTAGCAACTGTTCATCACGCATGGAGACATGTGTTGCAAGGCATTCCGGGCGTAAGGCAGAGTCAATCTGTGACTGGTGAGGTTCAGACTGTTGCAGTAGCAGTGGACCTTGCCAGAGAAGCTGCTCAGAGTGTTACAGCTGCAGGCTTCTCCGAGACCACCAACGACGACATCCTGGAGGTGATAAGGGATCCTGATGTGACTACCGACGAGATGGTAGATGATGATGACGTCAGTGAAGAGGCAGGTGGTGCGTCATCCCAAGAAGAACACCGCTTATCCCATAGTAATGTTAGGGGTGCCATCGAGTGTGTCGAGAAAATCAAGCTCCTCCTTTCCGACGACCCTGACGCAAACAGGTATGAAATCTTCACTACCCAGCTGTTGCAGACTATGGAGCCCTACTTCAAGGTTTATCACGACAACATAAACACCAGCCGTCAGCAAAGCATAACAGAGTTCTTCGCCTGCAACCCACCACAGCCAGCCCAAGCCAGTGATAGTGACAGAGGTAGAGACAGTGAAGATGACTTTGAGGGATTTGTCAGGGAGGCCCTGACAAGTGTGGATGACAGTGATGGTGACTCACCTGAGGGCCAGTAGCCTGCCCTCTGCCTCGGAACCAGCCTCCATCCCCGTATGCCGACCCATCTCTTCTACTAACGTAAGTGTTCAACCTAACTTTTATTTTTCCTAACCTAACCTTTATTTTTCCTAACTTAACCTTTATTTTTCCTAACCTAACCTTTTCTATATTAATTGTTTGTGCATACCATCATAAAGTTAAGATAAAATTTTAACTACAACATAGTTGTGTGTCGTCAAAAAGTGGAGTTTGGGGGTCGGCCTGGTCTCTATTTCAATTAATCCCATATGTTATGTTGTTCACTTAACGCGTTTCTCACTTTCCGCGGAACCCTGTGGATTATATTAACCGCGTAAAGTGAGGGTTGACTGTGTGTGTGTGCGTGCGTGCATGCGCGGTGTGGTCCCTCGATTAACAAACGGTTCAATTAATGAAATTTCGGTTAACGAATTGGCTCCCCTAAGGATTTTCAGTTCCATTGACAAAGAAAACTTTGATTAACGAAAGCCTTAGGAGAAACACACTTTGTTGTGTGCATCAGTTGATCGGCTAATCACCAATACAGTAATCTGTTCTATGTTTACATTCGTTTCCAATGGAGTAAATATCAAGAAAGTTGTGTTCTTGAATATTTTTGCATTTTTTATATTAAAATTATTGGTCATTCTAAAATTTAGCCATCCAAGCTCTGTCTACATAAAGTTTTTCAACTAATATTTTTTGCTCGATATACCAGGTATGTAACTATTCATTTATTGAAACTCATTTACATGCACACAGTCCTATGGGCAAAGCTGTACTGTACATATACCTGTACTCAAAATAATGTACAAAATGATTACCGAGAGTTTCGTCTAGTGCAAACTATAGCATGTTTATATTCAAATCAATCACTATCTTATAATAATTCCAGCAATGTAAATGATATTCTCCCCTGTCACTTCTATGACATTTTATAAGCAAAAAACAAAAACTCAATCTAAAGGACATAAATAAACAAAATAAATACTTCACTAGACCTTCAGCGCCAACTGTCAAACATGTCACCTTCACCTTCCCTCCCTCCCTCCCTCCCTCCCTCCCTCCCCTTCCCAGCCAGGGTTGGGTGGTTTTTGGCTTACAGTTTTTATCTTATATAATATCACAGACTAAAGTTAGGAGAATATAATTTGCATTGCTGGAATCCTTGCAAGACAGTGAATAATTTGAATATAAATGTCATTTATTTTGCACAAGAGATTAAAATTTTAGTACATTTTAATAATGTACATTTGTTCAACTGTATTTTTGGGTAGATTTACATAAATTTCTTCATTTATTTTTACTCATTTGCATTCACACACCATACTAAAAGAAACATAAAAGAAATAAATGACCTAAGTGCAAACCTTTATTGTACCTGTACTAAATGATTAGGGGGGCTGTAGTGGTATTTATATAATCAAATTTTTGTTGAGTGTAACTTGAGCAGTGTTGGGTTAGGGTTGCCACAGATAGCTCCTGCTGGTTATTGTGGTGTATCTGGTCTCCTTAGACTTCACTTCCTTTTCATTACTCTGTGTCTCTATACTATAGTTCTCCGTTGAATCATTCAGCTATAAGTGTAGCCTCACTTTACTGGTGTGAACGGCACATGTTTCTCTTTATTTCGTTTTGTTTAACCTCAAGTGAAGACTCTTTTGTAAGTCATATTTGGACTTGCATTCTAAACAGGAATTCTATGGAAAGACAGGAGGTGGGGCAAGGAAAGGAGTTGAAAAAAAATCTGCTTCGCCGTCTGCCCAGAAGTCAAAAGGAAGAGGGCGGGGGAGAGGCAAAACCTACGAGGAGCCAGGTGAGTTCTTCTTTCAGCACTTCAACCTATTGCCATGCACAATAATGAAAATTGAAGTCACACCATAAATAACTCCCAACAGTAAAGAAAATTTAATAGATTGTCTCAGAAGTTAGATACTGTATTGGACTACAGTATTTTTGTGTGATGAAAGTAGCATATTAAGAGTGACTGGTCAAATGGTCCCCAGTTCTAATAGGCCCTTGTGTAACCTAACCATTGGTGTTGGGTCCCTGTCCTGGGGCCCTAATCTTAAGATGAAGACAATAAGGACTGGAGGCCATGTGACCCATTTTTTTTTTTAAACTATGAACAAGAGCGGAGCTGTAATCCAACAATTTATTAGTTACAGGTGCTCCTCTACTTAAGAATGTTCAACTTACAAACTTTCAGAGATATAAACTGAGGGGGGTTACCTGCCAGAACAGGTGTTTAATGTGGATGAGACTGGATTATTTTGAAGAAAATTCCAGATAGAACAAACATTACCTAAGAGAAAAGTGAGCCAGGTTTTAAGGCTGTATTAAAGGGTATAGCTGTACTAAATATCCTTTATCTTTTCATTTGTTACAATATGTTTGGTATCTACAAGAGTAAAGTTGGACTTGCAAACAAGCCTCAGGAACGTAACTCGTTCGTAAGTAGAGGAGCACCTGTATTGTGAAGTGAACCTCACATGTGACTGAGATTAATATTGTCTGTGTTATAAGAATTCAGTAACTTGTATAATTTTCTATCATACACCCTCTGTACAGTGAACTTCTAACTGCTTTATGCTGATGATATTGAATCGTTTCTTAAGTCACTAGGCCAAGGATTCATATTGTTGCCTCATCTTTAAATTAGAAAGTGTAGTTTGAAGTAATATATTCCCCTTGTCTTAAAAGTTAAATATTCCTGCTTTACCCTGCATTGAACTTGAAGTCAGGTGTTGTAGTGTGAAATATATATGATGCCTCATCTTTATGGTCAAGTGTTTGTGTCCTTAATTCTCAGTGATCCTGACTCTCTCATCTGATGAGGAGGAAGATGATAAAAAGTCTGGAGTAGGGTCTGCAGCCACTGGAGGTTCATCTAATTCCCCTCCAGAAGGGTTCCAACTAGGCCCACCAGAGCCCATCAGTCATAAGGAGCCCATCATAACAGCTGATATGGAAAACTTTGATGATGTTGAGGAGGCAGATACTGGTGGTGCAGTTACTGGTGGGTGACATTTTGTTATTGTTTTTTTAATTGCTGTATAGCCTATACTCATATCTTTACCAATCTCATATATGGTTGAACCCTGATTCTTTTTTGGTAAAGAGCAGAGTGTTTCATTTGCCTTGTGCATAATTCGACCCTAGCTTTTAAGAAATACTAGGTATAACCTAGACGCATTTTGTAGTAGGGCACCAAGTTCATACCAATGATTCTTGGCTGTGACCACCACCACCACAACAACCGAGTCTGAAACTGAATTTCCAACAGGTACCAACTCCTATGAGGAATAAGTAAAAATAGTAAACCAGTAAATGTGAGGAATAAATAAAATAATACCAATAAATAAAAAAAAAATACTGTACCTGTGTTGCCATTTGGCTACTGGGCGATGAAATAATTGGCAATCCATTTCATTACCCACAGGAGACAGCTCAGAACAGATTAGACCCGACACTCCAGTGACTTAACACACGGACAAATGCTTGTTTACTTTGTTTTGACCTTATGATAATTATTTTTATTTATTTATTTGCACATTCTGTATGTAGGCGGTGTGTGCATGTACCGTAACTGAATAAAAAGAAATGTATGTGAAAATTACGTACAGTATACAGTGGTCCCTTGGTTAACGAGTGGTTCGATTAACGAAACTTCGGTTAACGAATTAGCTCCCATAAGGATTTTCAGTTCGATTGACGAACAAAACTTCGATTAACGAAATCCTTACGACAAGCACGTTTTGTTGTGCTCAACAGCTGATCGGCTAATCCGCCAATACAGTAATTGGTTCTATGTTTACATTCGTTTCCAGTGAAGTAAATATCAAGAAAGTTGGTCTCTTGAATAATTCTGCATTTTTTATATTAAAATTATTGGCCATTCTGAAATTTAATTAACATATTGATAATATAGACAGTACAGGGAACAGTTTTTGTGCTCCTATCAGCTGATTGAATCATCCAACAACGCTTCTCAGTTTAACTTTGTTTGCAGTGAAGTGAACACCGATTTTGTTGGTCTCTTGAATAGTTTTGCATTTTTACATTAAAATTATTGGTCATTCTGAAATTTAGTTAACATATTGATAATATACAGTGCAGAAATTATTATGAAACATGAAGAAGGCATTAAAACCAATGCACTTTTTAAAGAATATGTCATGTCATCATCGACTGCCTCTACAATCAGCCGTTTGATATGTAAACAAAGCTGCTGGTAATACGACATATACACCTCAAAGTAAGTTAAAATACAGTATTCTATTGTTTTTTTATTTATTATTGTACAGTACAGTATACTGTACAGTACAGTACTGTATTTAGTTTATATTTAATGTTTTGTTGATTCTATTACCAGTATACAGTACTTTATATGTACTTTTTTCTGTGAGTTGGAACCAATTACCCAATATCCCATTGAAATAATAGATTCGGTTAACGAATGACTGTGGAACGAATTGTTTTCGTTAGCTGAGGGACCACTGTGTGTGTGTGTGTGTGCGTGTGCGTGCGTTTCTGACTATGTGTTTTTGGCTTTACTTTGTATGTACTTTTCTGTGCGCTGGAACCAATTACCCAATATCCCATTGAAATAAGGGATTCGTTTAACGAAATTTTCGGTTGACGAACAACTCTGTGGAATGAAATATGTTCGTTAACCGAGGGACCACCATATCCCTATTTTTCCGATTTCTCTTTCAAATTTTTCGCAGGGAGTCGAAGATCAGTAAGTGAATTATCGTTAAACGAGAGGTACCTCTTTATAGTAGACAATGATGTAAAGCAAAACTAAGCTCAGGTTAATTAACATTATAAAAATTTAATAACAGATAGAGAGGCTGTCCTGGCAATTGGCATCTCCCCCATCCAATGTTGCCAGATTGAATTGCAGAATAATTTTAATTGTAAAAATTGCAAGAAAATCACCAAATTCCTAACAACTATCTCCATATGTGATTTCTGTAATACTCCCTGTTTCCTAGCCTAAACTGTCACCAGAAGAGTACTGTGCATTTCTCCAGTCTAGTCATAGAATCACCAGATTGGTTATATTGCCTTCCACCCCTGTTTTAGGAGCAGTTGTCATCACCCTTGATATAGTTTTCACTGTGTTTGGGATTTTTATAAGTCTTTTCAGGATATTTTTCAATAAATTTAAGTACAGTATAGTCTGGATTTACGCGTTTGGTCATTTACGCGGTGCCTTGCCAGAATGAAATGTTTTAATTACGCAGTAAATTTGGTCATTTACGCGGTGAGGTCCAGACGCTCCGCGCCATTTTTTACTCACGCGGTCCATTCTTGACCATACGCGGGAAGCGGCGCGGTGAGGGGTGCGCATTAGGCCTCTCTTACGTTGTCGCTGACGTCATGGCATATCGGACTGTGATTGGGCCACGCATCCTTACCACCCACGCATTCCCTCTGCCGCTAGCTGTGATTGGTCTAATGTAACATGACGTGCCCTGCCACCAGAAGTCGCTGACCTAGCCGGGCCAGTCTCATTGTTCTCAGTCCGCGTATATGGTTCTCTCTTGTGCCTGCTTTTCCCCTCACAATGGCTTCCGGGCCACCACCTGAGAAAAACCTTGAATTACCTGGACCAAGCCATGATTGTGTGAAGGAAATCATCGAGTTGGGGGAGAAAATTAAGCTCATCCTTGACAACGACCCAGACAAGCATCGGTATGAAGTATCTAAAAACCATCTGACAAAGGTTATGAAGCCGTATATCCAGATCTATCTCGACAACATCAATGCTAGTCGTCAACGTAGTATTAAGGACTTCCTCGCCCGCAACCCACCACAACCACAGCCAGCCCAAGTCAGTGATAGTGTTAGTGAGGATATGGACTTTGAGGGGTTTGTCTGGGAGGCCCTGCAAACCTCTGCGAGTAGTGAAAGTGATTCACTGGAGGACAACTTATCTGCCCTCTACCTCGGAACCAGCCGCCATCCATGTGTGCCAACCCATCTTTTCTACTAACGTAAGTGTTAAAAAACCTAATATTATTGATATTTCCCTTAAATATTAATTGTGTGTGCATACCATCATAAAATTAAGATGTTATTTTTACTACAACGTACATATTGTGTCGGAAAAAGTGGAGTTTGGGGGTCGGCCCAGTCTCTATTTATCCCATATGTCTGTTATTTCGTTTACGCGTTTCTCGTTTTACGTGGACCTCTACGGGTTCAATTGACCGCGTAAATGCAGACTGTACTGTACATCTTTATTCATAACATCTTGCCTTAGTTATGAACAATATCAACTGGAAAGAGAAAGCAAAAATGTTGAGTAGGTTAGTGGCAGCTGCCTGAAATCATTCCTACGTCTTCATGGCAGCTACCTTACCATTTACATGTCTCTTGTACACCATTGCTTAACACACACAAACTGTAAATTCTTGCCTGTTTTAACCTTTATCAAAAAATTTTCTGGTTATTTTGTTGGAACAAATATTTTTTTTGTTAGAACAAATATTTTGTGTTATAGAATTTCAGGTATCAGGTTGTACTACATAAATCACGAAGAAACCTGACTCCTGGAATAGAAAATGATAATATTAAGTCTTGCACTTGCTGTCTCTATGTATATATTAACCTTTTTAATTTACATAGAATATTTATTGAATTTACTAACAGCTGTTATATTTGCATTGTGCATACTAGGTGGAGGTCTACCTGACCTTCAGAGCTTATTAGATGGGACTTTGAAAGGTCCCTACACATCACTGCAGTGCCGAAGCATCAGAGTGGGCTCATACAAAGTCATGCCCAAGGACAGAGTTCTTATTGTGCCACAAGGTCTCCGGTTAAAGATCCCTCCCATCACAGAAGGTAAGCATTCATTAGTGGCTAACATCCCTCATTATATGATTGCCTATCTAGAAATTTAAATACTGTACAGTATGATTTGAAGAAAATGACCCAAGCATGTCATTCTTCTTACTTGACTGCATAAAGACAAAACTTAAGAAATTGAATACAAGGATTTAACCTCATCTCGGGTATTATGGTATATGGTGAAGTTGAGGTTGACCTTGTGAAAAGAGGAACAACATCTAATTGGCAAAGAACAGGGGGGGATTTATGGAGTGAAGAGTTTGTTTGGATAAAACTATAGCACTTCAGCTGGCTATGAAGGTGAACTTTGAAATGTGGGAAGTATTTATTGGATATACTTAGTCATTTTGACATTGAGGAATATAGTATAGAGTTATAAGAAATGCCTTTGGGTAACAAATAGTACTCTTAATAAATGTAGAAGACTGTTGAATCCTCTGAAGTTTTTACCTAAGTATGGAGAGAGGCTGTGCTCTTGTTAGTAAATGTTAGTATTAGTGAATAGTTTAAAATAATTATGGGAGTGCTGGAGGGCTCTGCAATGTTATGGTTACTAAAATATTGTACTGTACATGCATGGGTGTGGCTGTCAAATACACGGTAGTACTTACATAAATGTTGGCTACATACATTGTAAATTAATTACATCACTCATGGTAACTAGCCTATGATCGTGAGTAATCTTCAAATGGACATGTGACAGTGTTTTCCACTGAGGGCCCTCAACTTGACTGCTGGATCAGCAATTACTATCCGGTTTCTCACCAGTCTGTCTCCCGTCTCTCACCCACGTAAGACATGTTTCTACGCGAAGCTCATTACACATACTCTTCGTCCATTATTAACACTCACAGCTCATAGCGTTAATTACAGTGATATCCTAGTTATTGTGCAATAGTTTATTTTCTTAATAAATGGAGAAAAGACCAATTGGGTTTGATAACTTAACCCATAAAAATTTTTGAATGTTGCTTCCAGTGCACCTTTAATACTGACTCTACAGACTCTTCATCAGTGATTGCAACAGGTAAATGGAAGGTAACAAGGCACTACTGTATGTGATGAGCAAGAATGTGTGACAGCTAAGTGAATGTTGAAGTAGTTAGTGTTACAATCATTTATGTAATTAAAACAAATTTAGATAAAGTGGGCACAGGAAAGCGCCAATGATACGGTAAAAGAGCTGAGAAAAATAAGAGTTACTAAAAGGGTGGGGACAAAAAGTTCTCTTAGTGAATGAAACTTTCTCTCTGCGTGTCAAGAACAACCTACTGTATACAGTACTGAGAGTTTGAGTACAAATAAATTTTTTGACCTGCAAAAAATCAAGAGGAATTTTTGGGGGGCCAAAAAATTTTCAGCAAATTCTCAGTAGAGTAATATCTGTTACCCAGAATCCATGTTGGCTGAAACTCACCATTACCTGGAATTGAAATTAACTCAAGAATTTTTTCCAGGAAAATTCTACATTCTGGGTCTGTGAATGAGTTCCCAGGGTTGAAAATCGGGCACATTTTTGGAGATAATTCCGGAAAATCTCTTCTTCTTTAATTCTTTTTTTCTAATTATGAGTTAAAATCCCAAAGTTGAAAATCAGGTGCATTTTCTGGAAAAGTCCAAGAAAAGTTCCGGAAACTCCAAATTTTTCCCTGGGGTCTGGGAGCAATTTCCAAGGACGAAATAATGTTTAGACTCGGAACTTTTCCAAGTACAGTGGTCCTTCGGTTAACGAACGCCTCGGTTAACAAAATTTAAGTTAACGAATTACCTTCCACAGGGCCGGATTTAGGAGTGGGCAAAGTGGGCAGATGCCCAGGGGCCTCCACATATTACAATATTTTATTTATTTGTTTATTCATTTGGATTATTTTTATTTTCATTCTTTAAAATTCATGTTTATCTATTCCATCACGTAAAACTATGTTCAGCAAGAAGCGTGATAGAAATTAGGCTAGCTACTCCTTGAAATTCATGAATACCTGGTTTTCCAATGAACCGTATATTTTTAATGAATGCTATTGTTTGTGTTGCTAATAATATATTTAGAATTCCGGAACTCCCAGATGTTTAGGCTCGCTTCACTCGCCACCCCACCCTCTTGGGTAGTTATAATGAGGGGGGCCTCCACAAAGAGGCTGTCCATGGGCCTCCACAGGTCTAAATCCGGCACTGACCTTCCATAAGAATCTTCAATTCGGTCAATGAAAAAAATTAGATTAACGAAATTCTTATGAAAATCACGTTTTGTTTTGAACATCAGCTGATAAGCTGAGGAGGTACTCAGCCAATTCAGTAATCTCTTCCATGTTTACATTCGTTTCTAATGGAGTAAATATCAAGAAAATTGTGCTCTTTAATATTTGTTAATTTTTTTATACAGTTAAAATTATTGGTCATTCTAAAATTTAGCCATCCAAGCTGTCCACATAAAGTTTTTCAACTATTATTTTTGGCTCTATATATGTAACTTTATTCATTTATTGAAACTCATTTACATGCACACACTGTCCTAAGGACAAAGCTGAACTGTACATGTACTCAAAATAATGTACAAAATGATTACTAAAATTTTTGTCTAGTGCAAACTATAGCATGTTTACATTCAAATTGATCACTACGTATCTTATAAGAATTCCAGCAATGTAAATTATATTCTCCACTTCTATGAAATTTTATAAGCAAAAAACAAAAACTCAATCTAAAGGACATAAATAAACAAATTAATACTTCACCAGACCTTGGCGCTAACTGTCAAACATGTCACCCCTCCCTCCCTCCCTCCCACCTCCCCCCCCCTCCTCCCTGCGAAGGTTTCTGGTTATACAATAGGCTTTAATCTTATATAATATCTCAGACTAAAGTTAGGAGAATATAATTTGCATTGCTGGAATCCTTGCAAGACAGCGAATAATTTGAATTAGAATTTTAGCTTGTTTATATTCAAATTAATCAATATCTTATAAGAATTTCAGCAATGTAAATTATATTCTACCTGGTCATTTCTATGGAATTTTATGAGCAAAAAACAAACACTCAACAAATTGAATACTTCACCAGACCACTAACTGTCAAAGTACACCTCACCTCCTGCCACCCCCCCCTCTTCCCTCCCTCCCTCCCTACCCCGCCTTCCCAGACAAAGGTTTGGTGTTTTCAGTAGGCTTACAGTTTTTATCATATATAATATCTCAGACTAAAGTTAGGAGAATATACTTTGCACATTGGTGGAATCCTTGCAAGACAGTGAATAATTTGAATATAAATGTCATATATTTTGCACAAAAGATAAAATTAATCACCTGTATCACATTACAGTAGTGATTTAAGAGTTCTAGTGTATATGTATGATATATATAGTGATTTAAGGGCGATTTAGGGGAATTTCAGGAGTGTTTCTGACTTAATGCATTTTTGGCTTTACTTTGTATATACTTTTCTGTGAGCTGGAACCAATTACCCAATATCCCATTGATGAGGGACCACTGTAACGAAAAATTCCAGGTTTGTGGATTATTCCGAGTTTAAGAGAACTGCCTCTTTTCCCGGAAATTTCTTATTCCCAGACGAGCTCCACACCAATTATTCAGGCTAATGGGGATTTCACTCTACAGTACTGTATAGGTGTTCATCGACGAGTAGATTAAGGATCCGTTTATAAAAAAATCAAAATTTAAAATTAATTGTTCTAACAGTCACTGGAATTTGACAATTTGACCCTGTAATTAGTTAACTTGATTAATTTAGAATTTTTTGTGTTGTAATTTTGCTTTATGTCTCAGTACAGTATAGTTAGTCATCAATGAACAAATTAAGGATCTGTGTAAAGTCAACACTTACCCTCAACACGTTAGCATGGATAAGTAACTTTAAAAATGTATTTTCTTTCTGTTTCTAAAACCTATCCGTACTAACGTATTCATCGGTAAGCGTTGATTTTACACTTTGGCTAACTACTGATTAATTGCCTGGTTTGTATGTATTTGGAGGAGGGGGGGGGGGTGGATGGACCCAGTGAAGTTGCTGGTTAGGAATTTCGAGGCTGCCAGTTTGTGTGGCTTATTAGTGGCATAGACTGTACATTTGAACATGGACTTCCTTCTTTGTATGGAGGTGTGAATGTAGGTTTATGGGATTTATTGTAATCGGAATATTAACAGGCATAAGTATTGAATGTTGTTAACTAAAAATTAAATATTAAATGATAAATGTTGGTGCACTTGCTTTAGAAGATTACCATGTACCCATTTCAAGAATATTTTCTTTCTTGCAGATTCTAGTGACTCGGTGACATTTGACATTCCAATCAAGAGTATTATAAAGATTCTTGCCCATTTTGGGCGGTCACTGCCGGTTCTCTTTATTTACATTAAGCCATCAACAGCTGCTAGTATAAGAAGATTACTTAAGATGACAGACAAAACTGGACACTATTTTGACCCTTGTAGCTATGGTAAGTAATGTACCACTTGAAAGGTTCCAAGAGTTTATGCTTGTAGTTTTCCTGTATGTTCTCTTGTTTCTTGTAGGATCAATACATTGGGATCCCAGGTTGTAGGAAACATTTTGTATACACACCTTAAAGCTGAGGATTCTTTGAAAGACTTTAAACGGAAGCTGAAGATAAAAGTAGACTGCAAGAGAAGAAACTACAGTACTGTATATGTGTATGAGGGATATTTGGAAATTAACCGTACATCTCATAGTCATCTATTCAGGCCCTTAAAAGAAGCATCTTGCTGGGTACCACTTCAGTGTAGTTGCTACATTTCAAATTAAAATTTCTATAAATTTGCATTTTCTAAATGATTCTTTAATCCTACCAGTATCTCAGCCTGGGTAAAGAAATACTGTATTGTAAGGAAGGCAGTACTAAAATACATGTTCAATATGTTACAAAATGTAATCTCAAAACTACAGCCTTCATATGTAAGCATCACATTGCAAATGTTATTTTGGTCAAACAGTGGGCGAGTTCAAGAATAACCTCGAGACATGACAAATTTTATGAATGGATCTATTTAAGTAACTGATCTGTCTTCCTATAATAGAACATCTATGTATTACCTATAACTTAACACTGTATATATTGGATCAAGGGGTACAGATACCTCAGAGGTGAATTTCCTCGCAGACTATAAGGTGACTAAAAAAGGCTGAAGCAAGGCATATTTAATAAACATCAATTGGTGTTAGCATATTTATTGGTTCTAATCCATAAAACAAGAAACATTAAAAGTTGAAGAGTGAAGTAGAAGGAGGTAGAGTGGTAGGAGTACAACCAGGATCTTGAAAGGGGAAAGGTGGAAGATTATTTCTAGAATATTTTGGGGAATGGTGTAGCCATAGCCTGTAAATTTGTGTTTAACACGGTAGTTCATGGGCTTGTGTGTCATGGTCACACATTCAACCTTCCAAAGGGATGACACATATTGATAAAAGAAGACTTCTGTTCTGGCTTACCTTTACTTCTCATGAATATAGTTCATCAAAGGGCATAAAATCTCGGAGCGTGGGGGGAATTATCAAGGAAACTGGTTCTTAACAAGTATTGTCCTGCATAGTAAGATAGGAGTCTCTACTTTTTCTTAAGTTAAAGGGATAGTTACATATTTTCAGCATACAGTACTGTTAATTAATAAACTTTCACATGGATTAAATGTAGATAAATAATAATAAAAAATGGTTATACTTGCAATAGTGTCACCATGTTTAAAATTATTAATTAAAACATAAATTCATAAAGTTTATTCCTCATTCATACTAAATATGTCTTATTGTTTTCTTTTGCAGATGAATCACAGAAACGTATCACAATCCTTCCAGATAGACTGACGGAAGAAAACAAAAACTTGGTCAAGGAAATTTTAAGTCCCACAAATTTACAAACAAGCAATGGTACGTCTGTGAGCACCCTGACAAATACCACCTCTCTCTTAACAAATGAAAATTTAAATATCATGGAAGAACTAGATCAGAAAGAAGCCAACGAAATCCTTGTGAGATCGTCACCAGTAGAGGTAATTTGGTTTCAGCCTTTTCAATTGACAACTTTTAAATCAAATATCAATTACTTAGTTTAATAGATAATTTAAATACTAGTTTTGATGCTTTGGCTGCCTGCTGCAAACACTTATTATTATTGTTGCATTTTCTGTGTTCTTGCTGATTGTGAGATTCTTCTTTGGTGGACTTCAGACTGAAGTCAGGTCTTTTTACCAAAAGAATACACATTAGTTGGTGCTGTTGCTAGTTGTGGTAGAATACATCAAGCTATAGTAATATTTAAGATTATACATCGAGAAAAAAATACATCTACAGTTAAAGATATACAGTATATCAGTGCAGGGTACAGAAACTTTAAAATGATGGTAGGTCACAAATACAATTAATTTATTAATTCTGAAACAACTGTACTGTACATGCACAGGTCCAGATATATCAGAAGGATTGCAGTACACAAACACTTCAACGGCAGTGTATGTTATTATCACCTCATTGTGTTAACTTTGGAAGTAACAGTGCAGGTATTAACAAATGCATTTAAAGGTAATTTAACATAAACATTACTTATTATCAACCTACATTATCATCACAACATCTTGTATATATACACAGTAAAAGTGTGCAGCGTATTAAAGTCCTTGTGTGTCATTTTAGTGGTAGAATGTGGGGGTTATTCACCTCGTGAAGTAAACATGTTTCTAGAGAATGGGAAACTCATTGCAGTAATTTTTCCTGACATTGGCAGATGACATATTATTTCTTTAGATTTTTTGGCTGAATGTACAATGAAGAAACCATTGTGATGATAAAAATGCTCACATTGTCCAGTTATCTATGTCTAAAAAAAAATTTGTATGGTTAGTAGGTCTTTTTTTTTTTTAATTATGATGAAACCTGGTAGGAGTATATTCTTAGTGAAACTTAGGTTGGAAACATATTTGAATAGTCATTGTATGGTCTCTCTGGAGTGACCTTAAATTTATTTCAGAGGATTAATGGTTACTGGCATACATGGAACGATATACTTCTATTGTACTGTAAACCCTTGTAATTCGTGGAGGTTAGGTTCCAAGGAATGGTGGGAATAGGCAAAACTGTGAATAGCAACTTGTACTACAATAATGCACTACTGTATGAGAAACTTAGTCACCCATACTACTTCCATTTGTATGTGGTCAGCTGATGTGACCTTCTTGGTCAGCTTCAAATTATGGATCGAGAATCTTTTCTTCAAGTTCTCGAACCACCCTTTACTGGTACAGGTACTAAAAATTGTTCATTAGCCGCATTAGTCCCTTCACTACCTGCTGATTCATGAATATGAGCTTAGAGACTCTTAGTCTTCACGTGAATCACGTGTTTGTCGCTTGGCACGTTTTTGTGGTGCTGGTCCTCAATCCAAATTTTTAGTGCTTTTTCTGTTTTCACTATGTTCTTATCATGAACAGTCTGCACCACTTCAGCATATGTAGGAGCACTTGCTACAACAGTCACAAATCACTCGTTCTTTCTTCTTAATGTACCACACCGTGGATTTGTTCACACCAAAAAACTGGCAAGTTGCGGCGGCCCTCATGCCTTCCTTTTATATTATCTAATAATTGAACTTTCTTGGTAAGGGCCATCACTAACTTTTGCCTTTTATGTTTCACTGCTCCAGCATCACTGGCACTAGGCAGTGTTTTATGGACTATTTTGCACAAAAAACAGTTAAGTTTTGAGCACATCACAAGAGATGCTGCAGCTCAAACAATGGTTGAGCACTAACTAACAAGGGAGAGGAGACGCTCTGAGCACATGGGGGTGACTCACAGAGGCTTGTGAATTAACCACCTTTTTTTACTGTGAGTAGTCTAAACTGTGAATGGCAAACCCGTGAATAACAAGGGTTTTCTGTACTGTACAGTGTTCACTTTGCTTGTGTACTTTTTGTACTAGTATTACCTAAGGAGTATTAAGTCACTTAACCAGTCTCAGGTTCATAAGTATTGACAGTGGTCTCACTCCTGATTAATGCAAAGTGATTCGCTTTTAAAAATAAACACCTTGTATTTGTGTTCCATATTACATATCATTTATAATTATGAAATCAAGTTATAACAAAGAAAATATTCATACCATGACCCATTTTCTTAACAGGTACAAAGCTTAGTTAAAAAGCCAGTTGCAGCACCCACCACAAATGAATCTAAAATGTAAGTATTCCTTAATTATTCATTAAATTTGTTAGAGATTAAGTGTATATTATATATGCCTTTCGTCCTGTCTTGTCTTAATTCTTTGTAGGATGCAGCAAAGGGTACAGAACCCTCGAAGAAAGAGAGAAGATAGGAGAAAAAGGTTCAAGACTAAGTGTAGAAAGCTGCAAGATAGTGCTAAGATCATTTTGGAATTCCAAGTGGAGTGTGTCAAATTTGTCTGTGACATTAAAAAACTAATTGAATTTTATCTGACATGATCCTTTAAGAAGTTTAAGGTGACCCCTGAATATTGCTTAAATATTCATCAGGGTTTGAGAGATATATCTCTTTGCAACCTAAGTGAAATTTTATACCAGTGGTCAATAAAGTTTCACAAATGACATAACAGGAATAATTTTAGCCTGATTCACACAAGCATACTATCTCCTGTACAGACTAAGGCTGCAAAAACAGTATAATCCCACTTTGGCATCATGAAATAGCCTTTTATGTTTGGTCTGCCGTTCATTTGTATTGGGTTAATGTAATCTTTGCTCTTTAATAAGACTGGGCTGTTTAATGTAGGTGTTTTAGAATGTTGTGACCTTTAATACTCTTGTATTGCACCACTCATCCATAATGCTTCCTCCCTTCCTTGATATTTTTTTCCTTGATTCACCTGACACAAAAAGTAGAAGAGGAGTAAAGTTAACATATAGGTGAATACCTGTAAGTTTGGATGATGTTTAAAGTTTATTGAAATGACTAATGTTTGCTTAACAGGTTGTTGATATACCCACCACCGCCACAGAAAGGAGGAATCTCCATTTCCACGGATGACTATTGCTGCCTGGAGGAAGAACAGTTTCTCAACGATGTTATTATCGACTTTTACCTCAAGTTAGTACTGTAGGCAGTTGTGGCTCATCTGTGTTGATTACCTTACAATGCTTAAATTATTATAAGGTTCTTTGTGTATTTATGATACTGTTACTTAGAACTTGCATTTCTGAGTTGAAATTTAAATTATAGGAAGTTCAGTATAAAAGGGGTTTCATGCCATCTTGAATTCCAATCTCGGCAGGTAATCCCCTATTTACTTTCCTCTGTTTGAGTATTATGAGCAGAATACTGAAATATTGTTGTTGCTTTAAATTGCAAGTGGCATGCAAAATATTAAGAGAACTTTAATGTATGGTCAGACTTCTTATGTATAATATAATTATTCATATAGACTATAGTACAGTAGTTTGATGGATTAAGCCATTATTGCCGAGTGTCTTTTGTCATGCAGCATTTACAATGACTGGCTTGTACTGATGTGTTTGGGAGGATTTTCTAGTTCCCTCCACTTCCCTATCCCCAACTCACATATAAGTCCCCAGTCTATGTCACTCTATTACTAAAGCTTTCAGTACTATTATTTAGGTTTTCATAGAACCTCTTTTTTCTTTCTCACTTAACTCATTGTTTGGTGCACATGCAGTAACTGATTTTTCTCCCAACTTCTTAACTGATCAGTGATTCATAATAATCTGGAACCCTTATATTGTATCACACAGCTCCTCATTTCATCACTCTTTCAATAACTCCTTGTTCTCTTACATTCTTGTCTCTTATGCCCTTCGCTTGTCTTCAGCAAACTGTGCTTTGCTCATAAAACATGTTACAGTACAAGAACATTCAGGTACCTTTCATTGTCATGAATTTCACTGGATTTACTGTTATTATTAGTGTTTACTGATGTATTAATACTTAATAGTGATTAAATGTGGCATTGTAGCCAGGTTAGACTCATCACTGCAACCACCAGGCTACTGGGCCAAGCTGTGAGGTGTTATGGTTGTTTTTCAACTAATATTTTTGGAAGGATATATGTAACTTTTTCATTTATTTTTACTCATTTACATGCATCCTAAATGCATATTGTGAAAAAAAAGTAAAAGAATTAATTGTCATAAGGGCAAACCTGTAACTCAAATGTGCAAAGTTAATTTACTAAAAATTTTGTTTAGTGCAAACTATGGGATGTTTGTACTTAAATTAATCACTATCTTAAAAGAATTCCAGCAATGCAAGTTATATTCTGCTAAGTCAATTCAGTGACATTTACCATACACATGCAAAGCTTACACTCCCTCTATTTGACTGATAACTATGTATAGGGTACTTTGTTATCTCCCCGCTGGCAGTTTTAGGCTTAAAGTTATCTTATAAAATGTTGCTGACTAGACTTAGCAGAATATAACTTGCATTGCTGGAATCCTTGAAGATAGTGATTAATTTGAGTATAAACATCACAGTTTGCACAAGAGATAAAATTTTTAATCCTTTAGTGTAATACATTTGAGTACTGTACAAAGTGTATGCAGTAATATGTTACTAAAAATTATGGCTTTTTCACATTTAATTTACATTTAATATTCATTTAATTTAAGTTTCTAGCAGTCAATGGTGCTTTAGAGACACAGGAGGTGTATAATTAGCGGGTCAGTGTATTGTTGAATTTTATTATTACTGACCTTGGTTGGTCCGGCAAGGCTTTGGAACCAAAGGTGCCGGAAAATCGGTGGTATACCTGTATATCAGACTTGAAATCTAGGGGGGGGGGGGTCACCTTTTCAACAAGGATTTTTCTCAGAACTTGAACTTAACCCTTTAAGGACATATCCTGCAAATTTTACTTGTTTTTACTTTTTCTACCAATTTTTGAATGATTATGCATGATTATATACCAGTCTGTGGGTCGTTGACCTGTGCCCGGGTAGGCCAATCCTCGTAAAAAAAAAATAAAAATAAAATAAATAAATAAATAAAAATCTGAGGCTGAGAGTGGTTGCAAATTTTGAAACACTAAGTTAGTGTAATACTGTAAGTTAGTAACTATTGATTATCAGAATTGTCCAAGATCATCATAATTACCTCTTCACTCACTTGTGTTCTCACATCAAATATACTTTCTACACAAAAAGGTTATTTACAAAAAAAAAAAAAATCAATAAGACAGACAATCATAAATAAGAAAGATATAATTCTCTTATACCTTATAAGAATACAATTGAAATAAGCCAACATAATGGACATAACAGTCAAGCATGAAACTTTTGGCTATCAGGTAGAAATCATGTTATCTGGAGTTGTCTTATGGTTATTGTTCATCATGTGAAACTACCATAATGTTCTTTTGTATCCATATGCAGGTGGCTACTACAGAGCAAGTTATCAGATGTACACCGCGTGCATACACACGTGTTTTCTACATTCTTCTACAAACGTCTAACATCCAAGCCCAAGAAACGAAGACTCAATGCACCAGAGGATGACCCCAAGCTTACTGCTGCTGAGAAGAGACACACTCGGGTTAAATCCTGGACAAAAAATGTGGATATCTTCTCAAAGGACTTTATCATTATACCCATTAATGAACAGTAAGTAATGAAGCAGGCCATTCTTATTCTTTGTGAGGAGTGCAGATAGACATTTTACCTGTCAACTACACAGCTACACCTGTTACAATTTATAAAAGCCGAATGACTTCTTGTTGCAAAATGAATTGTGATGTCACGCTGGTAAAGCCACGACCATTTTCTTCTCGGAGTTTGATACAGTATGGTGTGATTTTCTTCAGTTAAAATCCTAGTAATAATGTAAAAATTGGAATTAAGAGTGTTTTCAGAGACTAATGCTGTACCCTTGTAATTTTTCACTCTTCACTGCCCCTTTATTCATATTTCTACATCATTTTATCATTCATAATTATGTATGAAAAACATTTTAGTGTAAAAAAATCTAAATTGCTGCTTTAAACCTGTGTAATTCAGAAAGTACATACAGTATATAAGAATAAGCCCAAAACTAATTTTTATTGAAATCCAGGGGGAGGCATTCCTAACGTCACCACTTATCCTATTTCACTCTTTACCTATAATACTCCCATTACCCCTTTTAATTTTTTTAAGTTTTAATTTCCTTTGGTATGACTATAAGGACTATAAAAAATGTGTACCTTATGTAAGCCCGTTGCAGCTGTACCCTATGTGTCTAAACTGAACAAGACACTCCAGTTACCAATATGGCGTGTGTGTGTGTGTGTGAGTATGTGCATGCATGTGCTTGTATGTCTTGATGTCTGGTGGGTTTGTAGTGAAAGCAGTAGTTAATGAAATATACTAATAGATTTTTAGTAACATGTGCATTGAGGAAATGTACTGCTGTGGGGGACTACAAGTTTCAACTGATCAGGCTTGTATGTAAATTCAACAACTGTGGTGTTATGCAGGCATTTGAGTCTGTGTCAAAAAAATTGTTGTGTAATTCAACCTTGCCCCCAAAATGTCTGAATTAGATAAGTGCAAATTGGATAGGTTCAAGTGTCCAGGGTATATAGTACAGCATGCCCTTAAAATTCACGGACCTCGATTATTTGCGGATTTCACCCTGGGTGTACCTAAGAATGTCTAAAGGTACAGTAGTTTTAAAGTTGCTGCCATTTTTGTAGCCGGGACAGGGACACATTCGTTTTAGAGACAGTAATTTCTTTTACCTGTATTGTATATAATAATAATAATAATTAACGGTTTATTGAAAGAGCTTGGCAGCCAGAAGGCTGAAAATATACAGTTACATATTTGGGGAATGGGTTACGAATTACAAATAATATACAAGTAACATAAGTGACACAAATAATACATATAATAACTAGATGGGGAAAAGCTCAAACTACAGTTCATTTCAACATAGTGACAGTGTAAGGAGCAGTGTTTACTGGGAGTGAGTACACTGATTTATTACAAGTTATTGATAATTTTTACAATGGTTGGGACTGGGCTGTTCTTATAGCGATCAGTTCGTGCACGTATGGGCTGGCTGCGGTTGTGGTGTCGAACAGCAATTCTCGGACTAGGGGATCTCGGGTGGTAGTAGGAGCGATTAGCCGGGATGGTGTAGAAACTTCTTACAAATTTACAGATAGATTGGTAGTGATGGTCGGTGGTCGAAAGGGTCAGTGTGTTGGCGGCTTCTTGATATGTGGAGTAGGAAGGGAGAGAATAAATCTTGCATGCCCTCTTTTGCACACTATTTCTAAGTGTGTTCACGTTGTGTGGCATTTAGGGAGGAAGACCAGGTAGGGGAGGCATAGGTGAATTTGGGAAGTATGAATGTTGAGTAATCACTGAGGAGCTCGGGTGCAGGAACTCCGAGGGGCTTGAGTCGGCGGAGGAGGTGGAGACGGAAACTGGAGGATTTGACAACTTCACTGACGTGTGGTTTCCAATTTAGTTTGTTGTCTATGGTGACGCCGAGGAGCTTAGTGGAATCTACAACCTAGAGTGTGTTAGGACCTAGGGTAATGGAAGGAGGTGGGACAATGTCGGAGGAGAGGTTGATGTGCATAACCATTGTCTTGGTATGGTTGATGGTGACATGGTTGTTGGTGGCCCAGTTTTGGAGACTGTTCAATAAATCCTGAAGGGCGGTATAGTTGGGAGCGGAATTGTTGACGCTGATCCCAATGGTGGAGTCGTCGACATATTTCCAGCGAGCAGGGGCTTCTCTTAGGGCATCATTGATGAGCATAAGGAAGCAGAGTGGTCCCATCTTGGTGCCTTGGGGACGCCACAGGTGAGTGACTGAAAGGTGGAGACAGCCCCTCGGAAGCGTACAGCTTGGCGTCGGTCACTGAGGAAGTCTGTAAGCCATGGTATGAGACTTCTCCGAAGCCCGAGGTCAATAGCTTTGTTTATGATTATATTGTGGTCGACTAGGTCGAACGCTTTAGTGAAATCAATGAAGGCGACAGCTACAGACGTTTTTCGTTTCTCGAGATGGCGGTAATGTAATCGAGAAAGCTGACAAGACAGTGAGTGGTGGAGGAAGTTTCATGTTGCCAAATTGCTGAGGGTCTACGACTCCTGCAATATCAGCATAAGCCCAGTCAAACACAAAACTTTCACAGATTAGGCTGGGTATTGGGGTGATTGCAATAGGTCGTAGCTGATTTAAGGATTGTGGGCTGGTTGACTTGGGCACTGGTGATACATAAGAGGTCTTCCAGTCAGCTGGGCATCTGGCTTGACTGAGAGAAGCATTGATGATGGAGCAGAGGGGTTTAGCAAGCTCCGGGGAGAACTCCTTGAATAGTTTCATTGGTAAGTCAAAGGGGGTGGTAGAGCGTTTTAATTTTAGTTTGTCCAGGCGTTTTGCTACGTCAAATTCCTCTACTAAGTCAGTGGGAAGGGGGGCTGGTAGGTAAGCAGGGAGAGTGGTTGTGTCAAGCCGTGGGAGCGTCTGGCATATAGTAGCGAAATGGTTATTTGTTTGCTCAGCTGCGTCAACATTAGTGAGGTGGCTAAGGAAGGGGAGGGGGTGTGTCATATTGTTTAGTCCACAGAGCTCTTTAAGCTTACCATACCATTGACTGATGTTGGTCTGCTTCAGGTGTTGTAATTTGGTTGGGTAGTGGGACTTCTTTGCAGTGCGTATTTCGCGGATGACTCTGTTGCGAAGTGACCTGTAGCGGATGTGGTCATTGAGATGAAATGCTCTGTCTCTCTGTTGCATAAGTCTTTTGATCCGAGGTGTGATCCAGGGCAAGTCAGCTGGGTGAGATCTGACTGACTTCTCGGGGAAGAAGTGGTGGTGAGCTTCGGTGGTGGTGTTGGTATAATTTATCCATTTGGTTTCCACGTCATCCACGCTGAGTACTTCAGTCCAGGGATAGTGAACTATCCACTGTCCAAAGAGGCGTACTGCAGAGTCAGTAATCGGCCTGTAGGTCTTGATGTAGGGTCTCTGTACTTGAGTGGGAGTGGCAGCAGGGGACCAGAGCACTGATAAGTGTGTGCTACACCCGACAGGAGGCAGTGGTTGAGGAGGTTGGTACTGGTCCGCTAAGTCAGTTAAGATAAGGTCAAGGGTGTTTTGACCGTGCGTGGGGAAGGTCACAACTTGTGATAGTGATAGCTGGTCCTGGATATCAGTGGTGTCAATTTCATTTAAATCCCCACATAATACTAACTTGGCACATGGGTACCTAACTCTGAGGTGGTCTGAGGTGGTAATGAGATGATTGATAAGAGTGTCTCTGGTGGGTGATCGAGGCGGATGGTATACCACACAGATTATAATGGAAGCAGTGTTGCGTGGGTGTGCCCGCAGCATGACACGTACCCATAATGCTTCCACATCTGCTGGGACTTGAACATCCAGGCGTGACGGGCGTAGGTCATCTTGACAGAAGAGGGCAACGCCCCCTCCGCGTCTTTGTGGGCGAAGGTGATGAAAGAGTTGATATCCTTCAATGTGACACGTTTCAGGTACAATTTGCCAAGTCTCACATATGGCAACCACGCGCGCGGCGGTTGACCTGACTGTAGTTGCCAGCTCGTCGAACTTGTTAGCTAGGGAAGTGACGTTGGATAGCAGTAAAGACGGGAGATCATACCATATCCGTGGAACTTCAGTGTGGTGGTATGGTCTGTCAGGGGTGGGTTTCTCCGGTTTTCTAGTGGAGGTTACGGTTCTAATGGGCTTATGTGCATGACGGCCTTGTCTACGGCTCCGCGCGTGGAATATTTTCAGTGACTTGAGTAGCGCGATAACACTCCCATCAGGATAACCGTTCCCACGCTTTAGATGATACAGAGTGCGTCGGGAGTAAGTGATTGGTGGCCATCGGTTGAAATCTGTTGTGGGCGGACGGAGGTGTTTGTCACTGGCGGCACTTTGAGGGACACTGACACTGGTAGACATCTGTTAATGTTTGTCAGTTGTAAAGACCGTGGACTTTGTCCTCGGTGCTTGGGGTCGCCGACACAGTTTTCACGATATATGTAAGCACCGCGGTGGTCCTTGTCACTGGCACTTTAAAGTTGACCGATAAAGTGCCCACTGTCTGACTTTTCCTTGGGGTGCACTATCGAGCACTGTATGGTGATCACTTATTGCACTGATGGCTAGAATGTTTTGCCGAGAAAGTTCCTTAGGTGCACTATAGGAACACTGCTCCGTAATCATTCGTTCACTAATCACTAGAATGTTTTGCTGAATCGATCCTGGTGTAGTAAGGCTGGTAGGGCGTTGGGGTATAGCAGGGGGAGTGGGCAGGGCCAAACAGATTCGGCCTGGCTGCTAAAACCGAGAGCGCCTTCAGGCACGTTTGTGTGTGTGTGTGCAACATTAATAGAATATACAGTCACATTTATAGCTCTTCATCAGAAGAAATATAAAATGTATACCCCGTCATCTCCATGTTTTATTAATAGAAAAAGCACAGAGTTGACTTGAGGGTAGATTCACACATTTTTAATACATTTCTTTCTGATTATTTGTGAGAGGATTTTGCCATTATTATTTATTTGTATGTGTTCTGTGTGTATGTGTCTCTACACACACACACACACACACACACACACACACACAATACAGG